ACAACGTAGTACGCATTCTATAAAGAATGCAGAAATTATCGTAACTGCAATTATGATTTCACCATTTCATGGGTGGTTGATCATGTAATCGTCATTTTGTTCTTCGTCGATGCCAGTATTATATTACATGCAGTACTGACATTGAAAACGACTAATGATCTCTTATTTTTTTCATAAATGATTGAAAAAATCAAATGACAAATATACAGTAAAATTCCGTTTATATAAACTTGCCGAGGTACAAATAGCTTATGTAATTGAAGTTCATAATAAAATCCATCGATTTTTTTCTACTACTATTAACGATGAAAAAATTGAAAAATCAATATTTTAAATCGTTATAATTTCGTAAAGAAGACCATATAACAATTCATTTAGCGTAGGCAAAGCTTTAATAATCTTTAATAATCTTGAATTCTTTTCAAAAATGTTTTTACATTAAATAGGTATAATAAATAAGAAAGTTATGTAGATATAATAGATCATAACGATACTTTTAGAATTGTAATTATTGGGTTTATCAAACGTGTTAAATCTATCCATCGAATATTCAAATAAATCAATCGAATTATATTAAATTCAATTACGTTATAAATTTCACATTGTATTCAATATTTGGCGTTACATTCGAATTCGAATTGATTTCTAAATTCACCGATAATCTTGTGATAAAATTTTCGAATAGAATAAATAATAAAACTTTAGATTAGATTAAAAATTAACTTTTGATGTTTCATTCTGCCAACATTATTATCATCAACGATACCATTGACTAAGCTGATTACTATTATCATCAGCTACCGCTGCCACCGCTCCTGCCCACGCTACTGGAACCACTATCGTCACTGTTATTATTCTCGCCTCCCTTAATGTCATCAACGAGTTACCACCGCAATGTTATCATCAACCAATTTTCTGGTTATTCGCTCATGTTCGACAATTCTATTCACGGAAGGATGATTTTACGTACATTGTCGGTCAATAATATCCAGATATGTATGGATATTTAGATAAGTATGGATACGTGCTTCCTTTTGATAGAACGTAATTTAATTTCATATTTCTGGAGAGAAAGATTCACAACTATTTCATTGAATAAGCGTAGAAGTATTCGGATATTTGCTTTTCCTCGATATAATTTAATATAATTTAATCTCAAAGTTATAAGAAAAAAAGAATTACTTTAGAAAGAATAATTATTTTATTCTTCAACATTGTTACAGCTATGTGGAGTAGAATATCACAGCACGATAAAATTGACTTTTGAAATCTAATGTAAAATAATAAAATTAGTATTTACAATTATCTGGACTTGTGAAACTATCATGTTGATTAAAGTTTAAAGAACATCTTCTGTTCAAAGTACAGTGTAGCCTCTTTTATCCGAACCATTATTTTTTGAATATTTTAATATCAGAATGTTATTTGCTGCTGACAATTCCTAACAGAAAAAAAATTTTCTGGGTCGATTTCTTCATAAACGATCTCAAATTCAGTGATTCAATCACTTATACGACTTACACTAATGATATAAATATCAGATCGAATTGATCTCTTCGTTGAATCAGAGTTGGTCATTAATCAATAAAAATTTTCAATTTCATTAATGTTTACGATTGAAGTTAATTATTAAAACATAATCGATTGATTTAATCGAATTAATGGAATTAATTGTCAAATAGTTGATTAAACTAGATTAAGTCAATTATCAATTAGCGTTTAAATGGAATTTGATTAAAATTTTCAATTAAATTAAACATTATCATATCGAACTTCAAAATTTTATCACGACAAAATTCATATAAGTGAAATTTTATTATACTTTACAAATTGACAACGTTCGAAAATTATCATTTCCAAGCTATTTGCACCACGTCACGTTCGATTAGTAACGAGGGTAACAATACTTGCCGCTCGTAACCATAAACTCCTCGAAAATCTGCAGATTTATGAATGCTATTGAAAAACTGAGAATTACTATTGAAATTCTTTTGGATGTAAGAAACTGTATTGTGTCCAACGAAACGTGTTCCAAAGGTTTACGATGGACTCCTGTCATAGGAACATTGTTGCTACTTACTGATATAGTATTGTATTGTTTCATTCCTAAGGATCGACGAGTGATGGCAGCCAATAGTTGCGGCCATTCAAGTACGTGAACATTTTGTCTACAGTCTCGTCTCGTTGTATAAATTATAAAACCAAATACGGTACGGTAATCTTAAATTAACAGAACAAGAAAAATAACAGAAAATTATGTCTGCATCATAAACCAATAGAAACCAAGCACATATTTTTCTTTCCTTAGAACAAGTTAATGGACACAGTTATTTGCACGTAATTTTACTGCAAGGAAACTCGCGGCAGTTAGTCGTTAATCATTCAACTAAAATCAGTTAGATCAACAATTGATTAAAGTCGAAAGATGTTTAACAACTAAAGTAGAAATTTCATCATCAGAATGCGCGGATTTTATGCATTTGTGGAAGATTGGGAGTTGCAAAGATATCTATACAATCCATATAAAAATATTCAAAGTAAAGTATTATTATAACATATAGTACGTAAAGCAAATTTTTTGAAGATTCTTCTTCTTTAGTGATGTTCATCGAAATTTTAAAGTGCGCAAAATCCTCATTCCAGTGACTAATAATCGTTAATTACGATTAACGACTGCAACAAAAATTTAATCGTCAATTGACAGAAGCATCGTTAATGGTAGATCTACAGATAAGTTTACACGTTCTATTTTTTATTCAACAATTAAATGATCTTTGAATATTGTTATTTCGCTCTCTTCATTTCTGTATCACAAGATTAATGCTCTTTAATTATTGATGAATAAATACAGTCTGATAAAAATTCAATAAAATCCAGAGACACAAAGAGGATGAAACGGAGAGGCAGAGGGAGATATCGTATAGCGCGAGAGAAGAAATAGTGGGTTGAACAGGAAGAAGTGCACAGAGATTTATCACAAATCGAAGACAATGCCTGTGATTATCGTTATCAGCGAATGATCACGGCGTTACGCCGATATTCGTAAAACGTGAACACTGATCACGCATCGGTCGTAAGAACATTGGAAGCTTGGCCTATTCTGTGCAGATCACGTGCACAGAACGTGAAAAGCGACATCGTACGAACACGTGTGCCCGTATCTCCGGCCAATAAAGCGTCAAGCTTTTGTCTCACCTCTTGAGGCTCGAGACAATTTCGAAATCGGGATTGGTCGATCGGAATCGGGATCCCTTCGTCACGCCGTCACGTCTACACGTTGCCTTCGGCGAGGCGGCGACACTCGCGCGAGATTACGCGCGGGCACATCGATCCCGTGCTCGCTTCGTTTCCCGATCTCGAGTCGGATCTGTGCCTGTCAGCCAGAACGCGGGATTAAGCGGTAAAACAAAGAAGAAAGAAACAACGGAGAAGAAGAAAGGAGGCATAGGTCGCCTATATGTAATATATAGTGATTTTTATCGGTGTTTCGACTTCTCTTCACTTTTCCACTTCAATATCCGCGACCCGATGTTGGCATATCAGAAAAATCTGCCATCATTGATTGATCGACGATCGATTTCTTCGAACGATCTTTGTTGCAGTTCTTTTTTTTTTTTTTTTTTTTGTTTTTGATACGACGAACTGATTTTTCAATTGAGGAGGAGAAAGAACAAAAGTGAAGGCGACGCGCTCGTTTATTCGGGCACGTTTCATTTAGGAAAATTGCAATCTGTGATAACAAATTATTTCGATTAATTTATTGTTGTTAATACAGAGAGAGTAACTTTAGAGAGAGTACGAGATTCAAATAGAAATGATTTCAAAATAATTTAGAGCTAGATTGATTATTGTAATAAAATAGGAAATAATCTGACATAAAGGATTATGATGAGATTGTCTGATTGACATTGATGTAATCTATAAGGATAAGGAAATACTCGAGAAATTATTCGGATGAAAATTTATAAAGATTTAAAATTCGAAAATACGAAAATTTAAAATTCAAATACAAAAATAATCTAGAGGAAAGTCATTTCTATGTTTATATAAATTACTTTAATATCCAGCCAAATAAAATATATATTATTCAATTTATCGCCATTTAAATATTAATATTATTTAAATATTATTTGAATAATATCCAATCTTCATTGATTTGAACACATTTAATTTACTTAGAATAAAAAGAAAAAAAAAAAATAACAAAGAGCTGTTTCAACAAATTTATTATCGTTGTTTTGGAAATGACATAGAAAAAGTAATTAAAGATACAAATATAAGTAATTATGAGATACAAATATACATTTCCAAATAATTTCTTATTTGAGTTCAAGCAAAATAACAAATAATCTAACATGAGACTATCTGAAATCTGTATCTCCGACGCAATTAACAATATCGATATATAAAAAATATCGATATTATATATGTTCGAGTAAAAATTCATTCAAACACCAACTGAAAAATCAAATAAAAACTTACTTCGTCCGAGCCGAGTGAAGAAGAATAATCTACAGAAAGATCGTTTCCATGTTCAAGTAAACACATAACTACATCGATCAACATCTAACAAGAAGATATTCAATTTATCGTTCTTATGTATTATTTGAATAATGGCCAAACCTGATCGAAAAGTCAGTCGTCGAGAGGGAAAATGTTGGACGAAAGAAGAAAGGGGAGAAGGGAAAGTGGGGGAGGGAAGATAACAAAGCCTAGCAAGGCAAGAGACACGAGGAGCAAGAATGGAGAGAATTCGCGAGTCGCAAGATGCTTTGAGATCCGCGTTCGGATTAATCTTTCGCGGACATAAGACATAATGGCACCGAGCGACTCAATTACGCTCGGATTAACAGTACACGAGGGGTTCCCCTTCTCCCCAAACCACTTCTCTCCTCGAGAATCTGTACTCACAGTGTCCCTTGCACGCTCTCCACCACCTCGTGCACAATCTACCAGGGCCTTTGAAACGCTATATAAAGTGACAAACTTCCTCGGTGCCACTGTATTGGCGTTAATACGGCATCACGTTCCGGTCAGGTAATAGCCACCGGATAGATACGACCGTACTGCAGTTTTCGTACGACCATACGTACGTCCAGACTACGGTTTTTCAATTCGCACCATCGATCGTTCGCCGCCTGTTAAACTCTTCCTGTTGCTGCTGCTGCTGCTGTTAAGTACAACTGTCGTCGTTGCTTCTTCACGTGTTTGCCGAAAGTCGTGGCCAGCTACCGAGTTACGGCTCGTCCCTGGACAGAAATTCAGAAGTCAGCAAAATTGTGATTTTTATTTGTCGTTTGTTCGTGATCTCGACGAACGTTCGTCGGCCGATCATTTTCATCAGCTGCTGAAGGATGGTGATTCGACTGGAAACACGTGCCTGCTGATACCAGTACACAACGTGAGATCTGCAGCTAGAATCTACTCTGTGTCATAGAACGGACGGAAGAAGACGTTTGTCGCGTGGCATGATCCATTTACGGATGAAGTTATTTGGGTAGGTAATTTTCACGAGCGGACTGCGAATTTTTGCGCATCTGTAGGAAATTCGAACTCTGTGTATCTAGTAATGTTGTTACTAAGCGTTCGTAAAAACAGCTGAATTTTTTTTTTTTTTTTTTTTTTTGACAAAGAAAATATTTTACATCATCGAAAAAAGGAAGTGAATTGAGTTGAATCGAAAAAGATATTGAATTTATTATTTGAAGTATTATTTGGTACAAATGTTTAAAATACATTTGAATCATCCAGTGCTATTATGTTTTAAGAACATATGTAATATTAATATTATTATATTTAACGTTTATATTGTATTATTTTGTTGTTATTGTAGGTCTTTTTTTTTTATTTTTGTGACATACGTGTATATTATAATGTTATATATTTTCTCCATATGAGAACATTACATGATTCAAATATACCGCTCGTCATTTTTACAAATAGTTATATAATTATCCAGAGTCAAAGAGCATAATTGTACAGACCACTTACAATACGAAAAGACATATGAAATATCAAAACTATAGTGCTTTCTATTTTTATCTTCTTAATTTCTCTTTTGATTCGACAGTCTATCTTTTCCTTCTATTTTTTTTTTTTTTTTTTTCTTTAATTGCATTCTCAAAAATACGAATTCGCATAAAAATCTGCAGTCCATTCACGAGTTCCTCTCCATTTCGCAAACGATTACGTTTAACGATTTAACGATAGAGTACCACTATCGATCATCGACTCTCGACTTTCGAACAGTACATACCATTCCAAACACAGTTTGTGAATCGTGCATAGTTGCATACGGTTAAAGACAATGTTCATTTACACATCGCGAGTTATCTACGTATCGTTAATATCTTTAGGCGTGCATCCTCTACAGTAGCATCGCTCATGAACGTTAGGATATGTGTGTATCAGCTCGTTTTCGTTACATCGCTGACTGACCCGAATACCAGCTCCCCTTTTCATTGCCTGTTGCTCGTTTGCCTCTTGTCCCTCTCCCTTTTTATCAACCTGTCACCAAAAGCACCAAAGATGTTGTTCTCGCCTCATCGAAAAAAAAGAAGAAAAAGAAAACACTTCTTACCGTTCGTTCGTCTCCTATTATTCAATCAGCGAATGCACGAATCAAAGAAACCTTAAATTATAACTAACGAACGAACAGCCACGATTAACTTACAATAGCAGACGACTTGTTACATGCACATAGGTATGCCTAGTATGTACATACAGTGAGGGTCAAAAGTGAAGTTATCAAAAGCTGACAAAAATGAGGTTTGTATAGTACTCGTAAAACAGGTTTGGATATTATTTGAATATAATCTTATATAATATAATGAATAGTAATTATTTCGTAATGAATAGTAATTATTTTATATAATACGTCGTTTCATCTTGAAATGGTGTTACGTCTAGTTTATCTGAACGAGCAAATGATTCTTCTCGGAATCATCATATATTTGGTCGTCAAATAAAATCGTGATATTTTGTTAGATGAAATAAATTCCTTTTTGGATTCGATATTTTTAATCATGTTCATGAGGATGTAGAAATTGCATAAATACACCACAATCTAGTCATTTCATTTCGAACGAATCATTTGAAAATAATTTATTTAATTTGTGAGATCTTTTTATTTGAAATTGTTCTTTTTTTTATCTTTATTTCAAATAAAATTTACCCAAACCTGTACTATTACTGAAGCAATAATATGTATATATGTGTGTATATGTATTTATATATACACATATAATATACATAGTTATTTATATGTACAATATATACGTACATATAAATATGAATATTATACAGATTCAGATATTTGAAGATTTTAAAATCGAAAGTACAAAAGTACAATTGTCGAATTTATGAGTCTTTCAACATAATCGAGATCCCAAGCGAAAACAGTTAACGATAGTGATTGCTACAGAACACTTAAAGGTCAACTAATCCTCCATCACAGTCTTCAGATCATAATGCAATCTAAAATTTGTAGAAAATATGAGAGAAAATATTAGACAAACTTGTATATATTCACTTTTGACTGTCACTGTACATATCTATAGTCATTGTTAGAAGAATAGTCCAGTCATTGGCCACGAAATCTACCATGCTATAGTTGCAAATAGGTTCAATCTCTCTCTTATACTTCATGTGAGCCTTCATTTTCAATTTCAATGCCAAAGCAGTTGATAGCTAAAATAAATTCCCGTTAATAATATTAGGTTTAATACTACTTAATAACAAATAAAAATTTTGATAGACAGGAATATTTTCAAATATTTTGATATTAAATGTTTTTAAACATATACACAACGCAGAATAGCAGTAGATTATTTTAGTAGATTATTATTCCAAGGATACATTATTTTATGCACTTTGTGTGTCGTTAGATAAAAAACTATAATTAGCTGATAAAGCCTATAACTATTATAATTAAAAGCTATAGTGATATATATGTGTGTGTGTGTATTTTACTATATTTATATAATATTATTATATATATTAGTATATTTCACTATATTTTCATAATATTATATTATATTATTATAGTAAATAAATTTATATAAAATTCATTCTCAAAATTCTTTTTAAAATTTAAAAGCATATAATGTATAACATTTTCATTTTACATATTGTATGTGTATTCTAAATTTTAAAAGGGATTTCAGAAACGAAAACCTACTGTATATTTTGTCAATTTCTCTATTTCTTTCTCTGTTTCTTTCTCTGTTTCATGGAATTAATCTCCTGTATATCTCTTTCTCACCTTCTGTTACGTAATGGATATAATGGATCTTCACTCTGTTTATTTAATAAATAAGTTGTAAAAATTCTTTTTTAATTCCTGCAACGCAACGATGGCATTATCGTTAATCGCGCACTAATATAAAAGCAACAATGTGAAAGATACATATAACAACTTCTTTTCAACCGATTTACGACAAAGTGTATTTGTCGGACAACCAACGATACGTTACACATACTCTAACATATGATGTAAAATTTGTTACAGATTCACAAGTTCCATGAAAATGAAATATCTAATCGTGTTAGTATGTTCTCTGTTGGGATTTCTCGAACTCGCCAACACTCTACCCCAAGGTGCCACCGAGTACGAAGGTTCGTTAATAATTATTATAATCGTTAATAATATAATTTTTTATTTGCAATCATTCAGTTGGGGGTTTTTATGCAAATTTTCCCAGTGAAATTGTAAAAACATGACTTGATGACAAGTGAAAATAAGGAAAAATTGGCAAACAAATTTTAAATGTAGCCTGAATGTGCCTGTACTTACGAGATATTTCTTAATATATAAGGATAGTTGAATGTTTTTAGATGACAATCAATTCCGCATTTACAATCAAATTTTGTATAATATTTTTCTCTTATTTGTTCAACATTACGCTTCTACAATTTTGGTGGGAAAGTAGGAAGCACACTTGTAGAAATTATTTGGGTAACTTTCCATTGAATTTTATCTTTTATAAAACATATGTTCGAAGAATAATTGTCTAATTTTATAAAACGTATTTGTCCGGAGAATAATTGTCTCAATATAAAAATTTGAAAATTAAAAATTCGAAGGACCTGAACTATTGTTACAAGGACTTGTTTCATAATACAGAATGATCCGAGAAACAATGTTGCAAATAACTAATAAATAAATGGCAAACTTGTTTAAAAACGAACTCTCTAATTTTTACACCTAATTAATTCATTGACGCGCACTTAATTTTCACAGGTGGTCTTCTCTTGCGATAAAACGTTTCTGAATTAATAAAGTATTCAAACAACATTAAATTATACATATCAACATTAAATTCCTTCGTAAATACAGTTAAAAATCGTTATCTGTGAAAATATGTACGATAACCCTGTTTGCACTATTTTAGAAAAAAATTTGCGTGATAACGATAGCAGTCATTTGCTGCCGTGAAATGGCACCTCGATGGAAATTTATTTCGCGTACTAAATATTACAGAAAGCATTATACTTTGGATATGATGTATGGAGACATTTTAGACTGACTGAAATATCAGAAAATATATAAAATATCCAAAGTTACAATAATTTATATTTTACATTTATTTTCCCACTGTAGAAGACATTTGAACTTTAAAATTATATTTTTCAGTCATAGTTTTAGAAGCGTGAAATTGATAAGTGTATAAAAAGTTGAAATTGATATCTCAAAGATTTGATTTCTGGCTTGTATGTATCACGAATCATCAATTACGTGATATCTAATTCAATAATTTATATTTTATCTATTTCAATAATTTATATTTTACATTTATTTTCCCACTGTAGAAGACATTTGAACTTTAAAATTATATTTTTCAGTCATAGTTTTAGAAGCGTGAAATTGATAAGTGTATAAAAAGTTGAAATTGATATCTCAAAGATTTGATTTCTGGCTTGTATGTATCACGAATCATCAATTACGTGATATCTAATTCGTCAGTTGACGATCATCAAAGTCTCCGTTCTCCTTATTTTTAAATTAGTTAATGGGAAAATTTCTTTTTAGGTTCCGTTTCTTTAGCTATACTCATAAAAGTATAAAAACGTCAAAATCTGCAGTTTATTTGTTTAAATACCGTCTTCGTTTAAACAGGTGTTCGTACACGCCCGGAACACACTACTGTGTTAAGCTTCATTCAGGTTGATCAAGTTACTTGAATTCAAGCGATTTAAATTCGAGCAACTTGAAAATCTCTCTATCAGAGTTAAATTGTCATTGACTTGATTTGAAATATCCTTTCGAGGTTTCGCGTTTATCCTTGTCAATCGAGCCACTTGATTTCGAGTGATTTTGAAACACTTGCCACACTTCGTATCAATTTCTTTATTTTTATTGAACATAGTGTCATCTCCTATGTCTTTGTTCTTACTGTTGGATTGCGGATATTTGTGCAATTCATATTGTCATAAATAGAATTTGAAAAAAATCTTATCTTCAATGAAAATTACTATCTTTAATATTATCTCCAATTTCTTTATTCTTTTCTCTATTCTCTTTACACAGATATTGATTATTCTATGTTTATTCTCTTTGTTCAATTTCTTTAAACGAAGAGAAGTGGAATGAGAGCAATGAAGATATAAATTTCTTAATTAGGACTGGTTAAAGACAGCTTTATTTCATTTCTTTGTACGAAGAAAAGCGTCACGAAACTGAAAATATGTACGATTTATCTTATCTGGAAGAAATTGAAGATATCTTCTATTCCTATAGTCTAGACAATTTTTTGCCGTGAAGATCGTTCAAAAAGAAGATCAGTAACCAAAGAATTTTTCCATTCTAAAATTGATAGTCGTTATAAATCTAGAAAATAATGAAACTAATTAATCGTCAAAGAAAGTAAACGAAACCGTATGAAAATTCTTTAGATCAAACACATGATGTTATGAATGAACTACGTGCTATTAAAGTTTCATTTAGAAAAACGACATTTCGTATGCATCAACGTAACAGTCGGCGAAGCCTTACAGAAGCTAAAAATAGCAACTGACTATGAAATGTTAAGACTAACAATATAACTGTCAAGAACATCTTATGATTTTGACGAAAGCAATGTTTTTATGGTTATATATTGATTTGAGGTAATCGATTTTTATCAACATATATATATACTAATAGAGGGAGCGAAAACATAATTCAGTCTTAAAATTAAATCAAAAGATAAAAAATAAATCAATTTTGATAACAGAGGATAACATAGGAAAGATTAAATATTACAAACGCGTCTGGTATTGCTTCAGAAGAGGAAATAATTTAAACTAACTTCACTTCGTTTGAAATCCAGTCAAATAAAGTGTTTTAGATTACTTGAATCAATCAAGTTAACCTAATTAACGAAGAAAAAATTTGAAAAAGATATTTCAAGTTTATCAAATAATCTTTATCATTGATGTTTGTTGAAATCTCTATCACGCGCTCAATATCTGCAGTAATTAAGTGCAATTTTTTTTCAGATGCAAAGTATTTGCGTTTATGAACAGTGCAAAGTTGCAAGACATAAGAAAATATATATGAAATATTTAAAATAATGTACTCGTTATGATATTTAGAAAATAAAAAAAAATCTTGCAGATTCTATTTCTTCAGTCGTGTACGTAAAAATTAGGGACTAAGAGTAACAATTATTCTTTAACTTTTTTTCATAAAAGAATGCTATTTGAAAAATTTTTGCTATTAATAATGGTCATCGGTAAACAACAAAAAATTCCATCGTAAATATTGATTATCAGTAATCAATAAAACTTTTGTTCCAATTTTAATAAAATTTCATAATGATTTCATTATATACATTTGATTGTTATAAAAAAAACTATAACTTAAATAATAAGTTAAAATTAAAATTAGGATAGAATATATATAATTACATTATGACTGTTTAAAATTTAAACTGGAACAATTACGGCTCCTACGGCTCTAAAGATGAATAATGAATTAACATCCGCAATCTCGCAGTCATTCGTTATAGCATATTTTGCACAAGAACGTATTTCTTTTCAGACATGTCCTTTTGGCTAAAATCTGGCCAAGAGAATCTTCGAAGAAATTTGGCTTATCGGAATAACGTAAATCGCGCAAAAAATGTAATTATCTTTATCGGTGATGGCATGGGAATATCCACTATCACAGCTGGTCGAATATACAAAGGCCAAGTCGAAGGTAATACCGGCGAAGAATACAAATTGGCTTTTGAAAAGTTCCCTAACACTGGATTCGCCAAGGTATTGCCACTATACACATAATTTAGCCTGTACTCCAAAAGCGATATTTTCAAAAATTTTGAAGAAACTTCTTTACTTTATATTCCAAAAGCGATAATTTAACAAATTTTAATTAACACGTTCTGATTGCCGTATGAGATTTACATGCTTTGTCTGTAGAATGAAATATTTAATTTTTATGAAATGTCATATTACAATAAAAGTACAAACGCATTTTTCATTTTATACTATTATTTTCATTGCACCACTTATAGCATCATTTTATCGGTTTATAGTATTCGTGATACCATAATATTGTTTTATATTTATATTATCATAGCATTATATTTATTTTATATAGTATTTTAATATCATTTTACAGTATTATCGTTGGCAAACAAATTTGGATTAAAAATAAATATTCGGAAGTGCTCAAAATTAATTTTATTATAGGTATGGCATTATTGGTACTAAACTTTTAAGCTTTGGTAATTTTAGCTTTTAGTAATTTTCGTGAGTACTCAAAGAGTTGATCTAATGTTAATCAGTTCTTTCATACGTTGCTTTTGAAATATTGAAGTATAAAGTCTCTGTGTTCGAGACCTTTACCTGTCATGTTTTAAATATCCAAACAATTTCAGTCTCGTTCTAATAACACGTAAATTTAGAAAATTTCCATCGAGTTGTTTTTTTTATAGACGTATAACACTGATAAACAAGTACCTGATTCAGCCGGAACAGCCACCGCAATATTTTCCGGTGTTAAATGCCGATACAAGGTTATCGGATTGGATACCAGAGCTTCGTTTAATCACTGTAACAAGCAAGTCAATCAAATAAGCAAACTTACAACTATAGCAGATTGGGCGCAACAAAGTGGTATGGATACTGGTAAGTCATCCATTATATATTGTAATAGAAGAAAAAGATACATAAATAAATAAATTAACAAATAAATAAATAGATAATGTAGTAAATCGATAAAATAAATGATAAATAAACAAGTGGATAAGTATATAAATAAATAGAAAAAATGAATAAATGATAAATAAATAAGAAAGAGATAAAAATAAAGTAAATGGACAAAAATAGACTTCAGTAGAAATTGCATATATGTACAGTGGCGAGCAAAAGAAAGTGGAAACACTATAAATATCAATAATCTACTAAATGTTATGTCCTTCCTTTTTAGCTTATTTTTGCCAATATATTTTTATGTACAACCTTTCCCTCTGTTCCGCACCATGAAAAGAATAGTGGAATATCCGGAATAAATGAATGCACGCTTGTATCACGCGTAACTATATATATACACGTGATAGTACAATTGACCGAATGATCGATACGCATAGATAAAACCGGCACGCGCGCGAACGTGACTCGCTAGCAACAACGACCCGCTCACGGTCATCTACCGATGTTAAACATTAAACATCAGTATCGAATAGACCTTGTCGCGACGAGCTCGAAAACGACACGACAGAGAAGGTCGCGAGCCGACCTTCCGCTTTATCTAGGGCGTAACTCTCGTAACACTCTCGCTTCTTTTTTTCTCTTTTTAATTAACCGCTGCTTTCTAATATCCGGTCGAACGAACAATGACAAAAAGTCTCTTTGTTTTTTTCTTTCTTGATGAGAAAAAGATCAGTGATATTATATTAACGATAAGATGAAGGAGAAATAACTAATTATAAGTTAAAATGAAAAGACTTAAGAATTAAGGAATTTTGAATTAAATCTTTTTCAATTTTTTTTTTTTTTTTTTTTTTCTTTATTGACGAAATGTAGGATTCGTAACGACTACTAGAATCACACATGCTACTCCAGCTGGATTATACGCTCATACGAATAATCGTGATTGGGAATGTGACACCGCGATACCGCAACAATATAAAGGCTGTGTAAAGGATATTGCGAGACAACTAATCGAAGACGCACCGGGAAACAAGTTTAAGGTAAGAGGATATATTTGTTCTTCATACGCTGCCGATTATAAATGTATTCAATTAATATTATCAGTAAAATAATTATTATTAGATAACATTAAATAATATTATTAAGCAATCAATTATATACAATTATATATTATACTATCTATCAATTATATATGTTTTACTATCATCATGGCAATAAAATTTCAAAATCTTTTATATAACATATTCGCAAAAATATATTCATATATTTTCATTGTCGTTCGTTTAACGATCAGTTAATCAACTTAATCATTTCATATCAGGTAATTATGGGTGGTGGAGCGCAACATATGGGTTTACCAATGTCTGAGCCAATAGATCCCGATACATGCGTCAGAGGAGACGGGCAAAATTTAGCGACCGTATGGACTGAAAATAATCCAAAGGGGAAACTAGTGACTGATACCGAGCAGCTCCTCTCTATTGATATTGCTAACACGTCGAAAATTCTTGGAATTTTTACACCTAGTCATCTCCCTTATCACACCGTGAAGACGAATCGAACGCCAACTTTGGCTGAAATGACTCAGCAGGCTCTCCGTTTGCTTCGAAAGAATAACAATGGTTTCTTCTTAATGGTGAGTGATCGGTCTTCACGAGTTTTAACAAAATTGTTCGTTTCTGTCAAAAAGTAAGCGTATTATAAACGTATATAAGTTAACCCTTTGAATACTCGTTGAAATTAACAAAAGTGACTTCGATTTGTTTATCAAACGCTACAACTGATTATTTATTCGTAGGTGGAGAGTGGAAGAATCGATATGGCTCATCACCACAATTATGCTCAGCTAGCGATGCGAGAGTTGTCAGAACTCGAGGAAGCGATATTGGTTGCATTGCAACAAGTTAAATTAGAAGAAACATTGGTGATCGTAACTGCAGATCACTCACACGCGTTTTCCATCAATGGTTATCCGAATCGAGGAAACGATATCCTTGGTTTTGCCAATGATCCAAAGAAGACAAATATACAGCCCTACGAAACACTTAGTTACATCAACGGTCCAGGCTTTTATCATCATAGGCGAAACGACAGTCACGATGTCAACGAAACATGGATCCACGTCGATCAAGATAAGACACGCAATGATCCATATTATACTCATATGGCTGGTGTATACTTGGAGGATGAAACACACGGTGGCGAAGACGTTGGAGTCTACGCGATAGGTAAATTTAATTTAATTTATTTTTACTCGAATCTTATTCCAATTTAGTGCATTTTTATCCCTACTTGCTCTCATGAACGTACTATATCTACTAATATTAATACATCGATAAATGTTACAGATAATAACATATAAATAATTTCAACAGATTAATACAAACACAAATTTGAGATGTTGTATCTTATATCTCGTGTAGGGATTGAAAATTTTAGGGTGTTTTTTAAATATATATACATATACATATTTATTTATTTATTTATCGGTCATAAGTACGAGTACTGTAAACAATTTATATTAACAACACATGAATGTCTTTATTATATTATGTAAAAATGAATGAGGAACAAAGCATTAAAAGCAACTCTATCTCTTTACGAAATGAACGGATATATGAAATTTAAAATCTTATCAATGATTTATTAAAATTAAATATATTTTTCGTCGAAGTATTAATCCGTTGTAAATACTACTCTTCTCTATAGTTTTACAACCTGTAGTTAGATTATACTTTCTTAATACTTTCTCTATAAGACGATGCATTTCTCAATTAATTACTTTATTATAACAATAAATCAATTGCTGCGTATTATTTTACAATTACAGGATTAATTTCCAAAATTGAAGTTTATTATATCATAATATTTTTGATCTTTCTTGAATTTCTGACTTTATGGTCTGTTTCTTTGGTTCCGATCCTATTAAAAATGATTTAATTATGTCCAAATTTGTTTCAGGTCCCTACTCTCACTTGATCCGCGGTACTTTCGAGCAAAATTACATCGCTCACGTAGTAGCGTATGCGGCATGTTTCAAAAACTGGCCATCCCACTGTGACCAAGCTTACAATCGTTATTTCTACGAATTAAGCAACTCGGTAAATTGTGCTACTAATTCACTTACTGTGTCTCTCTTGATGTTTGTGCTTCTTTCAATTGTCGGATTTAATTAATTGAATGCACTAACGGTACACGCGTTACGAGCAAGTACGTTTCTTCTCGTTAATCGTACCTTTCAGACTATTCCTTCTCATTCAAATATCCCATGCCAAACCTCACCCTTTCCCCGTCTTTTTTCCCGATACTATTTCTTCCTCTATTCTACCTCTTCTTTGATCTATTTCTTCTTCCTTTTTCTCTTCCTTCGATTTTGAAAACAGTACAAAACACACACGTATACCGTTCAAAAGTATCCAAACTCGTGTTTATTTTTCTTGGTAAGATGAAGAATTTACACGTTTAAAATTAGTTTTAAATAGCCAATAAATGTGCAATGAAATTACTGACAATACTTTACAATACGAGACAAGTTTTTGTCTGAACGAAAATCAGACGAGGAAAATTTTTCTAAGTTCTAATTAATTCAAATAATAATATTTGAAGTCGTCGATGATTCGCGTTTTAGATTTTAATCACAGTATTGATCTACTTATGGATAAAAAATTCATAGTCTAATAATAATTATTGCTTTCGACAATTAATTTCTCACTAATTTATATATTTTGTCAACATTGTTGGTAAATAAATTAAAGTTTCCTGATACTTGTGAACGGTATACACATAAGCAGCGAATATGTTTGCAAGTTACTAATTCTAACTAAATTTAGAACACAGTGTTCGACAATACGAATTGTCCTTTGTATATAATTTTCACAATTCATATTTCAATGTTCGGCGGAACTACATACTAGAGATGTGCGAAAATCTGAAAATATCAGTGAAATATCTGGGAACGAGTAGAAATAGTAGGTTGCTACAATATCTCAATATTTCTGCATTATGAAGTATCTCAATTTCTCAAATATATTTAATATAATATATAATCTTCTTCTTTTTATTATTATCAATATATAATATTTTGATCATTAACAATTATGATTTTCAAAATTATTAAATATAATTAATAATAATCTTTAAAATTATTAAATGTAATTAAGTTATTAAATCTTCCTAACACTAGGTATATGTACCTACGTAATAGCAAATTTCTTCTTCTTTAATTTGATTAGTAATTAATAATTGACCGATTAATAATTGATCGATGATTGATAATTAATAATTTAAACTTCGATGAACAAATGAAATATTCGGATTTTCGAAAATTTCGAGAATCTGAGACACGTTTTGGGACTAGTTTTGTTGAATATGACCATTTTTTTTATTTTTGACACATTTCAGAATCCTACAGTATAAAATGAAGAAATTTCGGGAAATAAAGTAATCCCGAAATGTATTTCGGGTTCTCAAAATTCTCGGAAATTCTGATATTTTCTTGAAATGCTTTTGAGACGATTTTGAAAATATCTCAATCTGATCCGATTTAATATTTCTAGATTTTCGCACTTCTCTTTTACATGGTACATATATATTTATACACTTGCGTACGTGCATGTGTGCGTATTGTAACGCGTTTGCAAGCGTTTCAGACCATAGGTTTAATTTAATTAATGCAGTTTCATCTGTGATATATACGCAAATTAGCTGGTAATTGTAAACCATATCTGTAATGTACTCATTTTTTGAGAAGCGTGCAGTTTGCATGCTGTAGATGAAATGAAAAGAATCAAACAGAAAATTATTTATGATATATTATAATATGAGGAACTGAGGATAAAAATATACTAAATCTAATGTCTAATATATTGACAATGATTCAATGTTTAAAATAGAATACAAAATATTCCGTACAATAATTAATTTCACTGTGTTATCTAAGGTTTGATTTGAAAAAGAATGAATTTTACTATTGAGTACAAGGAAGGCCTCAGAATATATATTAGTATTCTATATTGTATTAATGAAACAAGAAGAAACATTAAGTTTTTTAATATTAGAAACAGTATTACAGTATAACTTCATTACACATAAGAAATATTGTGACTAACTTTTGTCACTGAAGCGCTTTTTGCATTTAATATCCAGTACATTTTCATATTATTAATATAATTTTTTAGAATAAATTAATGCACATGTTGACATTAATTTAATTTATTTTTGCTCTCAGTACCTCATGTATATTTTCATTTGCTCGATCTTCAAGGCAAGAACGTTCGTTTGCCTTGGTTGTCTTTACCATTCATTTCAACTCTTCTTCAATCTTTTTGAGAAACACTAATAGTGTTAATACACATTGCAGCTAAAAAATATTTAAAATATACCAACTTATTATTTAATTATTCCAAGATTAAATTAAAAAGATTCATTCAAACTGTATTTTATGCTGCAATAATTTAAAAGTCCAAATATTTACATATGTAGTATACATACCTAATACGTATAGAATCTCTGTACACGTATAGGATATAAAGAGTTAGAGTAAAATTGATTTCCCTTTAACAATGGTAATATAGTGATTCTTATAGATAAGAGGGGTAATATTATCGCTAACAAAGTTTCGATCTGGCCTCACCGATGCAAACGGATTTTTACACGGTGGTAAAAGAACTTCAACATTTGAGACCGAATTTACTCGATTTATTTCCCAAAGCATTTCTTCTTTGGTATAAGACGTGATAGCGGTTGGAACTAACGTTTTAGAAAATTCACGTATCGTTTCGAACCACGTGTCTTTTCCACTAAATCCAGTTTTCCGGTAGAGGCCAGGGTTGTAAAGACAAATTAAATCAGGAGCAGCGAGATTTTCCGACGCGTCGCGAACCAAATCGTGGTAAAGCTTCTCCGGTTTAAACGAAACGACAACAGCTCTGCCAGCGGATTTACATTTGTTGCAAATTTTGACCGTGGACAAAAATTTAAGAGGCACGCCTCCTGGCAATCGTAACTCTGGTCCGATCAAGATTAAATGAAGCCTCTTCAATTTCGGTAAAAAATGAAGAAACAGTTTTTCCCAGACGTCTAAATTTATACCTTCGAATTGAAATTCCGCGCCTAGTACGTGAATAGTCCAATCGGTTTTGTCTTGCCACTCGGTACAAGAAGCTTGCATAGAATAAAGAGCCGTCAGTGGAATCGTACACAAATGCGACAATACAGAATACGTATAACAATCCATTTGACGATAGTACAAGGAATTACCATAAATTTGATGCATCAGTTTATCAAGATCGAACTCCGGCCTCGCGACGAACATCTCCAGATGCGCATTCGGGATTTCCGGATCGACGCAACCGTGTTTATGCTGAAGATGCAAAAATCTTTGGAAAACTTGAAACTCGTCGCACCAATTTCTGTGCTCTTGTTCGTGTTCCTTGCAAAAGAATTCCATACCGCATTGCGTGCAACAAACTAGTTTCTCGCTAAAACGACGGCAGACTCGACAGACTCTAGGATATAATATGATCTCCTTTTCCCAAAGATCCAACGACCGTTTCATCTCAGACTCGAGAATCGCCAGCAATTCTAACCGGTAAATACGGTACTGGTCCGCGTCTAATTGCACGCCCGATTCATCGGAGAGCGCCGACACGATGGACGAGTGAATCTCTGTCAGTGCTTCGCATAATTCGCGATGCTGCGACAGTCCCTGCGTTCGATGCGTTGTCGAGCAATAAGACACCATTCGGCAACGTTCGCAAAATAACGTGGACTTTTGCAGGCAAACCATACAGAGGCTCGACACAAATACGAATCGTGGTTTCACGCTTAATTCAATGCATTCTTCATCATCGTTCTCATCCTCGTTGGACAGTATCGATGGATCAACGAATAAAGACGGCTGTACCAACGGGTACGTTAGTCGAGAACGTACACCAACTGGATTCTTCGTTTCGTGAAAACCGTCTGGCCTTTCTTTCTTGTAACACGTATCATCCGTTGCTATGGTTTTTTCTGTTGCTGTTCTCCTTTCTCTCACATCTTTCACTTTGGCTTCGTCGCGAATTGTTGGTTTTTCACAAGCAAGATTACATTTCGTCGTCTTCGACGGTAAGTTATTTCCTTTGCTCCGATGTTTTCTGCGGCCCATCGCACTGCTCTGTCACTTTAAATGTAAGATTCTGCTGTTCAAGATTAATTTAAAATAATTTTTGCTTTCTCCCTCTCTGTCTCTTTCTTCACTTTTCCTTTTTCTTTCTTCAATTTGGCATTTGTTATACAATTAATTTATAATATAAAGAATGTTGGACAACCGTGATTAATGGATAAATTTCCATGGAAAAATGATTTGGAAAGAAAGAGTAAAATTTTTTCATTCAACACTTTGTTTCCGAGAAGAACGTGTCTGAAAATTTTATCGAAGTTTGGGTAACAAATGTCTTTCAAATCTTTTTTAAATATTCAACTACAAATTTTATCTAATTTTATTCGAATCGACAGCATTCAATGAAAAAAAAAAAAATGCAAATGAATGAGTAAACGGATCCAGATGAAAGAACAAGGGAGAGAGGGAGAACTATTTACTATGAATGATAAATGAGAAACTTTCTTACCTTACAATATTACACTATTGAAAACACTATATGAAAGTAATAATATGATAAATAGTATTTATTACGTATATAGATTCATTATTATTATTAAGGAGAAGAACAATTATCCAGTTCTCGTTAAAATGATAACATACGATCGATTTTATGAGAATAAAAAAGCGCGCAATCAACGCGCACTACCTTGTCAGTCTCGCACAATGTACATATGTACATTGTCGAAACAATTCGCTTATGGGCACTGTGCCCACTGCCCAGATAAAGGTATTTCGAGCTTCATTTGTCGGTGTGCCCCCTATGCCCAGGATAACTCGCACCTAAAATTATTAGCGTTCATTCGTGACAAAAAGACTCGCGCGTCTCTAATTTCTTCCTTCAATTTTCTATCGAATTTTTCTTCGAAATCAATATTTTTGCATTATTTTACGATCATTTTACTTCTACTAACTTTTTTATTCTAAAACACAAGACTCCCTCGCATTTTTAAAAAACAAAAAACGCAAGAAAAAAATACCTACATATGAACATAAGTCAATCTTTCGCTTCAACTTTCCGATTTATTCATTTACAGTTTATTTAATTTGTATTATTATTAATTTTTTCTCAACATATATATATATATCCCCTGGTTGTTTTATGTAACGTATGCTAAAATTAACGAAACAGAGAATTTCATGTATAAAATTACATGACCGTCCATCGACATTGCATACTAAAATACTAATCCTATTCTATAAATTGTCATAACATTAAAAAAAAATTAATTCAAAATAGTTTTGGCCACTTTTGTACAAACTCTAAGAATATCGATAAAGTAAATTTCTTTCCTTGTTACGGTTACTTATGTATCTATCGCGTCGTTTATTATCAACTATTTATTATCCAGTTATCTGTTCTTTACCGTATGCACTTGACCTCGCACATTTTCAGTACTTCTTTTGCGAAGTCAGTTCGAAGTTATAAACCTCCTCGGGCTTGAACTTATCGACGTAACATATTCTATTGCGTATGTATGCATGATCAAAAATACACATCGATTATAATCTGAAATTTTTTGCTATTAATCATACGTATTATAACAGTTCATACTTTTTCGCTGATAACTCAGAACGCCTCCACGTGGTTGAACGACGAACGAATATGGAATCGTGTTGTATGCTCGAGGTAGGTTATATGGCGTCGAGGTTATGTTTACCACGTTGAGATATCATCACTGCGGCAACACGGAACGTTTCTGCTTTAATGCCGAAAATTTACTTATAAATATACCACTAACAGCCAGAATATCCGCATCAATGTTAAATATCTCGTACGTAAAATCAAAAATCTTGCGCTATGCAATTGCGATGGAAATACCTTTTTTCTTGCTTTAACATATAAAACATGACATTTTAACCTGTAGCATTCCTGTTTCGATGAAATTTCTTACACAGTATAACATTCCTTTCCGTGATAGAGTAATGATGCAAAAGACTGCATTTAAATTGCAAGCATTTTCTATTCTTTTGACAGTCTCTCAAAAAACGAATCTCCTACAAACATTTTTATATCAGTAGATAAATATCAAAACGTATCGTTATTAGCTTCGCTCTTGTTTATTTTTTGATATCTATAATTTTTACTCAAGTTACTCGGATCTTACAATTAATTTTCACTACCAGTGTCTTTCATTTCCTCTGTTCTCTGTCAAAACATCATCCATACAATTCATAATTGTTCTCGTTGAATTTTCGATTCGATTACGATTAAAAAACAATCGATTACGAAACAGGTAGAGCAATATGCTTGACTCGTCTCAAATGGATCATGGCTGAAAATATATCGAGATCGATCGTTAAAGAGATAGTCGATACATGCCTAATCTCGTTATATAACACATGAAATAATGGAAAAAAAAACAAAACATTTTCGAATATGAATATACAATAAATACTTTTTTCCTGAACAGAATGCATGCTTTTTCTTATACGATGCCGATTTTCGTTTGACAGTTTTGTACAGCAAGAGTAAAAAAAAAAAGAAACAAAATAAACTGTAACATGTACAATGAAAAAATATTTTTGTTTCACTGTACGCAATTATGATTATTGTTAATGATACGGTAGAAAGAAAAAATATATCAAAAATGGAAAAAATAGAGCAATGTAATATTGACAGCAATGATAAAAGTGATGGAGATGATGATGGAAATAACGATGGTGATGGCGATGATGATAATGATGATGATGATGAAGACAATGATGATAATGATGGCGACAATGAAGAACTGGAGAAAGAAGATGTTGATGCTGTACCTGATGAGAACGATGAGAATCATAACAATAACGATAACAAATATTAGTAATAATAACGCCTGTTAATTACACATCAATTACAACACACTCACATTGTTCCGATTAAAATGCAAATTTGCTATCTTTGTCAAAGATCAAAAGAATAGCAGGAATCATCTTTTTCATTACAGTTCTCGGTAGTACAGCTCGGAAAGCTATTTAACAAGAATGAGCCATGCTAATATAGGAATGAAGGTGAATGCAAATAATTTGCCAAATATACGACACAGAAAATCAGAAAAGAAATTTTACGTGAGCAGAATGGTGGGACTAGATAGCGATGAATCACTTCGATCGAATATTTCCGATATCATGGAAGTGGAGATGAAAACTGACGAAGAAACGGACAGCGATGGGGAACATACACAGCGACTTATACCATCGCCAACTGATCACGAATGTATCAACGATGATGCAAAAAAGTCGATCACACGAGACACTCAATTTAGGCAATTCAAAGATGAGAATGTCTGGTCTATGTCTATACAAATGTTTGTGCCTTTTTTGTTAGCTGGTTTTGGTATGGTGGCTGCAAGTATGTTGCTGGATGTTGTACAGGTACGTACAGGTATCGAATTTAATAAAAGAACAATACACAGATATCAAGAAATAAACTTCGATTGAGTTCCTTCTTCTTTGTAGCATTGGCCAGTATATCAAACGGTATCCGAGGTGTACATATTGGTGCCAGCACTGCTTGGCTTAAAAGGGAATTTGGAAATGACATTAGCTTCTCGATTTTCAACTCACGCAAACCTTGGACACATGGATACAAAGAAACAGCAATGGACTTTAATCGTTGGAAATCTTGCTTTAATACAGTGTCAAGCAACTGTAGTGGGCTTACTGGCTTCTTTAGCTGCTATTATACTTGGTTGGATTCCCGAAGCACAATTTGACATTTACCATGCGCTTTTGTTGTGCGCCAGTGCCTTAGTTACTGCATCCATAGCAAGCTTTTTATTGAGCTTGGTGATGGTTGCAGTTATACTGTTATCCAAACAGATAAACATCGATCCAGATAATATAGCTACACCGATTGCAGCTTCTCTTGGTGATTTAACAACTTTGATGCTTCTTTCAGGAATAGCATCTCTTCTGTTCAAAGCAACAGGTATGTATATATAACACAAAATGAAATAAATGTATATTACATGAAAGTAAGTTATACTTCTGTTCAAAGATGCAACAGCTTTCTATTAATTAAACTCTCATGGCATTATTTCAGAATATGCACCATGGATAGCACCGATGTTAATAATATTTCATGTCATTGTCACGCCAGTTTGGTATTATATTGCAGCTAAGAATCCATTTACAAGGGAAATATTAGATTATGGCTGGGCACCTGTGATATGTGCAATGTTAATTAGCAGGTTTTTACATGCTCTTTATTTTGGAAATTTCAAGTTAACATCAGTCGCTTAACGGTGATGTTTCCATTAATTTTAGTATGGGTGGTTTGATACTAGATTATACAGTATCCAATTATAAGGGTATAGCAGTATTTCAATTAGTAATAAACGGTGTTGGCGGTAATTTAGCCGCTGTTCAGGCTAGTAGAATATCGACATCTTTGCATAAGGATCACCGATCTAACAGTCAAGAAGCACCCACTGTTCGTTTTAATCCGTTCTACGTTTTCTGTACCAAAGGTACGTCAATCATAAATAAACTTTAGATATTAGATATTTTTTATGAGGTACAGTATGAATGCATTATAGGCGGACATGCAAGGACTGCTAGAGTTTTATTAACAATGGTAATACCTGGTCATTTAATATTTAGCTATACCATTAGTTACCTTCAAGCTGGTCATACTTCCTTTACGCCCATATTTCTTATTGTTTATTTGACTGCCGCTTTAGTACAGGTATACATCCATTTTCCTATCAGTACTCATTGTCAATATCATATAATCGACATAAACCGTAACAATTCGTTTATTCGTTTTAACACTTTCGTTTAATTATTAGGTAATATTGTTGTTATATATTACGCAATTAATGGTTGTATGGATGTGGATACGAGGGATGGACCCAGATAGTTCTGCAATACCATATCTAACTGCAGCAGGTGATTTGTTAGGTACGGCACTATTAGGAATCGCGTTTCACATACTGTATGCCATCGGAGATGGAGATTCTGATGTCGGAGATTGATTGGACTTTATATTCAAAGTTCGTGTGAAATGTTGAAAATGTACAGAACAAAGTACAATCCTATGTCATGTTTGATCAAGTTTGGAACATTCATACAATTCCTATCCTTGTATGTTCCACAACAAATCATATTATTTTTGCCTTTTGCTTTTTCACATTTTCTTTAGTTTTTTTTTTCTTGTTTTTCATTTTCCACTATACAGTTTTTTTTTTCCTTGCTTTGATACAAAAAGGAATAAATGTTACAAACGAACAGAAGTTATCTAAGAGCAAATTGTTTCAATGTCAATCATTTTATAGGCAATACATTCATGAAGTTTACACGTGTGATCGAATTGTTCGATTTTTAAACGTCAATACGTACTTTTACGTATTTCTACGCGTAAGTTACTAATGTATAAAAATACCTACTTATCGTTTGTACTCTAACGCAAACATGTATATACAAACATTATCGAACACGGCGTTCATTTCAATTGCCATTAAATTTAAAGCGAGCACGCTCACCATATCGTATCTAACGAAACATGCTCAACTATTTTGTACCAAATACTGTACTTATCAGTCGAAATAAATTCGACTCAAATGCACACATCATTGTACTTTATCATTTCTCATCATTTTCCAGGATTTTTACCGTTCTATTTTTATTACCTACTGTATTATATAATATAATTGATATAAAAATCGAAGCATGTAATCCAGAACGAGCATTGAACGCGGTCGGAGATTAGAATGGACTAAGCATGAGAAGAAGAAAGCGAAGAAAAATAAAACAAAAGAGGTAAAAGTATAGTGAGATATGCACAAGGGTAAGAACAATACGAGTACGGTCAAAGATAGGTCAAATTGTAATATGGTTCGAGTTAAGCACAATTCTACTTGGTCTGTTACAGTGGTGTCTTTCTTTCGTATGATATTGTACGATCGAGTTACGAATAGGGCTTAAAGGTTTGTAAGCGTAATCGCATAAGCGAGGCATCTGAGCGTGTGCGTTCAACGAATATACATCGCGATGCGTGCACGTGCACATCAACATTAGTCAACGATTCGCACACGCACAACGTACAAACGAAACGACCAGGCTGTGGTTGAGAAGCACATCAGCTTGTCTCCGTCAATGAAATAGTTAGATCTGTCAGTGCCAACTATCGCCTCGTTCTCGGCGGAGCCTTTTAGATTTTATCTATCGTGTTGCTTGATTAAGTCGTTTTCTAAAACTGTTCTCGTACTGACCTCCCTGCATTCGCCGCGGTAGCTTCTAGTTCTCAAGAAGAAAGGGAGAGAGTGTCACCTGTTACCGGTCGAATATCCGTTCCTATATTTCTTTTGAATTGCCTTGTACTAAATACGTACCAAACGAAAAAGACAATCAAAGAAATAAAAATCTGCCGAGTCCATTACATCTTCTCTCGGATCCGTGTCATTCTTTCTCGTTTGCATTTATCGTACCCTATTCGAACGTTGTAGATACAAACGTCCTTCGTTACTCTGTCCTTCATTCATAGTTTACTTATCGTCGATTACGAACAAGAAAAAAAAAAAAAATATTACGAAGTAACTATCAAGGATAGTCGAACAGAACGAGAACTATCAAAGTAACAATTATGTACTGGCCATTAATTTTCATAACACGTTAAGTTTCAATTGAAATTAAAAAAAAAAAGAAAAAGAAAAAGGAAAAGATACGCAATTGAACGCGGTGTGAAGAAACGCGATTGCAAAGCACATTCTTAGCTCGCCACGCGTGAATCGTTTGTTTCGTGATCTATTTTCTTCTTACGTATTTCCCTGCTGTTTACTACCGTTCCGCCTCGCGATACAACCGTGTGTAAGTATAATTACGACACCATCTACTATCCCTTTGTCATGAGATACGAGGACACTATAGGGACAAAGGAGCGAAACTCTTGGCCTTCCATGATAAACGAAAGAGATGTGATTGAATGCACGCCTCGCGGGTCACGGGAACCAAGTATCAAAACGTATGTTAAGTTATTGCTCCTCATGGTCGAACTTAAACACGTGGAGTAATTTATCAATTTGTGAATATGTTACGGAAGTGCTTCGTACTCGCGCGCCGTTAACGTTAAACGGCAATGTTTGCAAATCCCGATGCACGAATGTTGCAGGACATATTCGATTTCCGATCGTACATAGTTATTTGATTTTTGTATGTAATTCAGATATTTCTGCTCCAAACATTGCCAGTGAGACGAACGTCATTTTTATCCTCGATTCCTATCATTTCATTCATATACGCGTACACATCTACAGACAGTTGATGTTATGGTATTTTATAAAACAGTCAGACGTCGATTTGAGAAAGGCTAGATTTTAAGAAACATATGTTGCGTGGGTGTAGAACGAGCGAAGACGATGTATCGCACTTTTGAGTACACGTGATATCATAACGTATCAGAATTACGATAATAGTAATCACCCTCGGCTCTCCTCTCTCTTTTTTCTTTATCTCTTTACTTCCATTCTTTCCATTCTATTTTTTTCTTTTTTGTTTTGTTATTAGCTAGCTCATTTGCACATTCGTGTCGTTAAGTTTTAAATTATTTCGTTTTCTATTCAGTACTTCTTGAAAATGTCATTCATGTCTTCTCGCGTGATCTTTATTGCTTCAATCTGTGGCGAACGCTTCAATGTTTATTGAACGAAACGATTTTTCCATCCATTCGCGTGAATTACGAAGAAAAAGATGAGCAAGACACGTAATTATATCAGAAGTTTGTAATTTATCCTTCGAAGTTCCCACGCTTTGTACATACAGTTGTAATTTTAAGCTTGCAATTATCTGTACCACGTGTTTGAGATCAACTGCGATGTCAACATCATTCGTGTCGAGATATGTTTGGAGCGAGTTACCGTACTAAAATTGTAATTGAACGAATGTATCTAGGAAGAAAATAGAATTCGTAGGCAACGTATGAAAGTCAATTCTACGTGAGTAAGAAAAGTATTCGGTCAGTAAAATACATAAGGCTAGTTGTAACACCGCGATGCTTGATAGTTAGAAACTCAATGTCAAAGTGAACCACTTAATTTGTGAACGGCTAATTGTAAGAGATCTTATATAACCAGTCTTTTAAGTAGATAACAATATATAGCACAATAAAGATATAACACACACAGTATATAAACGAAATCATAAATAAACATTTTCAAGATATAATCTCGGATCATACAATACGATCGTGGAAACCTACGTTGAAACGATAAATATGTTACGTTTGGACGCAGACAGACATCTAATGATACATACAATGATCTAATCGGTACCTACGATTTAGAGATTTGATCAATATCGAGTCGAGACAAAAAAATTGTAAAATTCGTAATTTCGTCGATGATAACGATCACTTGCAATTCAATTATAAATCTAACACGTTTGACATATTCAAACAGTTAATTGTACGATACTACGTGATCCTACCCGGTATCACGATTGATCGGCCAATTATATAATAGAAAATCGAATTTCGATGGGAGATTAAATCTAAAATCAATTGAGGAAGCGATTCTTTGCACGAAGGTCAATCGAGCAAAGTAACGCGATGGAAGAAAGGAGGATGAGAGTGAGAGCGAAGGAAAGGGACAGAGAGAAGGAGAGATCAAGTGGAAACGTACGTTTGAAAAAGATAATCTTGCAAATAAACGGGCGTACAGATATGTAATTGCGCGTATGAACAGATAAGCGCAAGTAAATACCTGAAAAATAAAGCAAGAAAAGAAATGAGAGAGAGAGAGAGCTAGTGAGCAGACAGGCAGGTAAGCGGACAGGCAGCTGAGCAGACAAGCAAGAAAGCAGAAAAGCAGGCAGGTAGATAGGCGATGAATAGCAGACGGTAAGGTAGGCAAGCAATCAAGGTTTACTTGGACTGGCGATCGATAAATTCGCGCTTGCTCCGTTTAGCGTATGTTCCCGGTAAAAGTCCTAAGCGAGTTTTAAGGAGACAAACGTGATGCATGATCGAGATCAGTCGCGATGTAACCATAGCGTGAAACGGCCTCGCACCAGGCCACCAGGCTTACACCACCAAATGCGTGACGACGGTTGATTTTCTTTTTTATCAGAATCGACACAGTTTTAAGAACGTTGAAAATCAGATTTTTCCGAGTCTATGAATCTGGCCGAGATTCGACGCTCCATCGAGGATCCCCTTACAGAGGTACAGGTATGGCCAAAGTATCAAATGTACACTTCAAGCATGCCTCTGTTCTATAATATTTTTCTCAAGTTCATGTGATTTCTCGTTTATCGAAATGCATCCGTTACGTAAACAGCAGGGGACGCCAATCGATATTTTACAATCAAAGGCAAAATGTACTTTGGGATTGTTCACCTTCTCTCTTTCTCTTCTCGTGTTCTTCTTCCTTCCTCTCATTTCAGACGTTTTCCGAAAACAAACGTTGCGGAAATTTGTCGTGTTATCTCTGCTTGAACTTTTACCTGAAAAACACGTTCGTTTGAATAAATCATGTATCAAAATATTTTTCGTTTTCAAATAACAATAATCAAATAACGTTCAGCTTTTTCTTCGTATGAAATTATCATTAGCCTTGACTATCAGGATCGTTTTAACGATGATCATATTCTTGCGTGATATAACACAAACGAAATGTAGGTTGATTCAATAGAACGATCGGTCGGTCATTTTTTTGCAAAATGACTAATGACAAAGATAAATGAGGCAATGAAAAATTAGTCAAAATGGATAGAGAAGGAAGAACAGTGATAACGAAAGTAACAACCGGCAATAGACAACGTGTCGAGTATAATGTGTGTTCCGATCGAATCATCGAAAATAGTTCGGTACGAGCGAGAGTGCAGCTTGCAGAAATCGCAACGCCAAATCCAACTTGATTGCGATACTGAAAGCCAACGTGTTTTAATTTTCGACGTGCCTTACAGTTGTTCCGAGCGAATCAGCTTAGAGATATCGTCCCTCGCTGGTTACGTAATTTGCTCGATTCTTGTCCTGAAATACAATTCCAACGAGCGAACATTTAGACAAGCGTTATCATTCTCAAAGGAGAATGGCTATATATCCGTGGCAGCGAGTCGCACGGGGTCCTCAGTAGAAGATGATAGAGGACCAAGTGCATCAACATCCGGTACGACTACCTCCCGACAAACACGCCCATATCGATGTTACAGGAGCCAAAATTGAAAAGTATGTTCAACGATTAACACTATTTCATTTTCAATCATACTTGCAACTCATGCGCAACTTATACACCCTCGAGTCGTGCACGATAATAAATAAATTACGAATCGATGAATCACGTAAACCATGAACTTTAACGAATTACCTCTAACAGAATTAGAAGACATAACTGTCGATTCGATTACGTTCTTGCATTGAAATTCGATTTTCGCATTCATAAAAGTTCCCGTACTGATACGTATACACGCTGCAAGCGTGTTCGTACAAATGTATGATGTACATTTTTTTTATATTAATTTCTTTTCTCTCGTCAACAGTGATCAATGTCAAGAACCTCTGCTTTCCGAAAAGCAAACTTCCCACAGGGTAATGTCAGCTCGTGCTCGTTCGCGCACTATCTCAGAATCAACAATCGGAAACGCGATCATGGGCACAACTTCGGCCACGAGTACGAACATGGTCGCGGTGACGGCTATGGGAACGGGCACGAATGCGAACGCATGGATGGACACCGTTGTCGGGGTGAACACCACCACCGAACCCGACGACAAATCCGCCGAAGAAGATTGCGTCGAGGTGCCGATATTCGACGAGGGAACCACCGATAGCGGCCGCCTTCCCGACGTCGTCGCTGAAATTTACGGCGTAAACGAGGATGAACCCCTCGAATCGTACTTGGCGATCACTATCCAAGTTTTTATACCGTTTCTTATTGCCGGCCTAGGCATGGTTGGAGCTGGATTGGTTCTAGATTTGGTTCAAGTATGAACACATTTTTTTTCTCTTCTCGTACTCACATTCCGTGAATCGTCTTCTTTCATTCTAGTCGAGATCAATCTCTTTATTTTCATCGATCGATATTGCTCACGATCTTTTCTATCTGTGTGACGTTTGTTTCTTTTTTTTTTTTCCACAGCACTGGGTTGTGTTTGAGAAAGTGAGCGAACTGATCATTCTGGTGCCAGCACTGTTAGGTTTGAAAGGGAATTTGGAAATGACTCTCGCGTCCCGCCTTTCGACTCAGGCAAATCTCGGACACATGGACACGCCGAAACAACAATGGTACATGATCGTTGGAAATCTCGTTTTGATTCAAGTGAGTTTTGATTCACACTCTATTTTTGATTTTTCCTCGTTTTCTATCCGCAAATATTGCCTCAGTGTACACTGTCACTTTTTCTCTGTCTCTGCCTCTATTTCTATCTCTATCACTAATCTAATATCTCTATCTCTTCCTTTATCTCTATGTATCTCTTTTCCCCCCTTCCTCCTAATTCTTCTTTCAGTTATTTTATATTATTGTTAATTTTTCCACGTCCTCTATTGTATCTCCTGTATATTTCGTTTATTTGGTTTTCATTAACCGAGCGACCTTTTCACAAGAATCCTAAGAATTTTCGACACATCGCTACTTACGTTTACCGTCACGAAAATTATTCCATGTCAAATATCTATACTGACTCGCAGATGCCTTATCATTGGCGCCGCAACTTTATTTGATTATATGTTCAACGCGACAACGGTAAATGACCTTCAAGAGCAAATGTCGCTTCTAGCACTTTTTTGCCGAAACGTACATTTCTTTCTGCACATTTTATTTCATTTATTATTACTGATCTCTTACTTATTTAATAAATTTCATTTTAATTTGCTTCAATTAGCTTGACTGTCGAGCCACTCTTTTGGAAAAATATCAAAAGCATTCAAATAATAGACAAACTACGTTAGCATTTTGAAATGTTATTAATATTTGTCATAACCACAAAATATTCTTTAAACATTTGATCAAAAAATTATGGATTGAATGGACAAAACGAACAATATGTTCTTATTTGAAAATCACAAGGAAAAAACATATTAAATTGTATTTCTATAGGAGATCAATTTCTAAATTATATTTTTACTCCAAGTTACTTTCCTATATTTACCTTTAACACTAAATACATATATATTGAACGTGTCGAGAATATTATAAGCTAATCTTCAAGGATTCCCTCTATCAAATGATGCCAAAATTCAGAGAATTGATAGAAGTAGATTTATTATGTTCTTCTCGTGTAGTTTTCATTTTTATTTTCCCCCTATTCCTATGGCCAAGCTTTTCAGTAATATTTTTTATGCAGTCATTACTTCTGCCGTACGGTGTGATATTTGTGTAAAGAAGATCAGTTCGTGTCGGCAGTGCCAGGCGATAGTGGTTGGATTTCTGGGCTCTGTGGTGGCGATCGTCATGGGAGCGTTCCGAAACGGTACCATCTCGCTAGACCATGCATACCTGTTGTGTGCAAGCAGCCTCGTTACCGCGTCTCTGGCATCATTCGTCCTCGGATTGATAACCGCAGGTGTGATTGTTTTCTCCCGTCACTGTCACATAAACCCGGACAACGTCGCCACACCGATCGCCGCGAGTCTCGGCGACATCACCTCCTTAGCTTTACTCTCTTGGATATCGACGATTCTCTACGAATCGATAAATAAGCAAGATTGGGTCGCGCCCCTGGTGATTGCTTGTTACATCCTCATCACGCCGCTCTGGGTATGGATCGCCAAGAGAAACAAGTACACCAACGATGTCCTTTACTCCGGATGGACTCCTGTAATGATTGCCATGTTGATCAGCAGGTGAGTACCGATGTTCCATTTCGTTTAAATGATACTTACGAGTGCCAAGAAACGACTCTTGAAAATAAACAAGAAAAAGAGGGCACGAAACGACTATTAAAGTGAACACGAACGACCACTGTTGTTGGCCGAGCAGTTGCGGTGGTCTAATACTCGAATTCATGGTGTCGCGATTCGAAAACCTGACCGTTTTCCAACCGGTGATCAACGGCGTTGGCGGGAATTTGGTAGCCGTGCAGGCAAGCAGGATATCGACAGCCCTTCACAAACAAGCCGAGCTAGGAACACTTCTAATTCCACCGGGTCACACGCATCCTGTTATCTTCATTACGCCTATTGCTAACTTCTTTGGCAAAGGTAAAATAAAATTATGTAACAACTGAAATTTACGCTGCCGATCATGATTATTAAGACATTTGCTGATATTTAATACACTTCGCTACTATCCTCTTATGCCTTGTCGCCGCATGGCAAAATAAAGATCATAATAGTGTAAATTAAGATTTTAAAAGTTTGAACTTATTTATTTTTTTGGTTATTTATTCCAATTTTTCAATTTCGTGATTGAATTAATACGCGACTGTAAAAGCTTGGAAAAAGAAAAAGATTTTTTTTCAATGAATTTTTATAATACGAGAAAGAATATTATTTTAAGAAAAATAACAGTGATCTGAGTTACACGATTATGTTTTTCATACATCATGTCTTATAATACTCCGTAACAACATCTGTAAAATATAAAACGAAGCAAAACTTGTTACAATTTTCAAATGAATAGTAATAAATGTGTTTTAATATTCATCGGTCGATTGATGTATATCATCTACTATTAACATGAATTTGAATTAATTCCTGTTTTTTTTTTTTTTTTCTTGCCTCTTAGGTATGCACGCGAGAACAACACGAGTTCTAATGGCGATGGTTATACCAGGCCATATAATTTTCATTTACCTGATTAATTATATGAAGGACGGCAACACTTCGCTAACGCCACTCTTCGTTTTCGTTTACTTGTGTGCCGCCATGCTGCAGGTTGCTGCTCTCCTGTACATTGCTTACATAATGATACATTGGATGTGGAAACGAAAAATCGATCCCGACAATTCGGCAATTCCGTATTTGACGGCAATGGGAGATTTGTTAGGCATTAGTTTATTGGCAATTGCTTTCCAATTCCTCTATCTCGTCGGAGATCAAGATTCTGATCAAACGATCGCTCCGTGAAAATTGCGTTCTAATAAAGTGCAAAGATTTTCTCGATTATTTCCAATAAGACGACGATCGTTATCGGATACATCGTACAAAATACTCTCTCTTAAAAACAAAAAAAATCATCGCCATTGTCATCATCGATAGTGATCAGCATCGTTATCGTCGTCGTTTTTATCATCATTGATATTATCGTTATCGACAACATCATATCGTCATCGACATCATCTTCGTCACCGTCGTCGTCGTCGTCGTCATAGTTTCCGTGGTTATTGTCGTCGTTACATACGCCATGTTTTTACCCTGCATAAAGAAAGTTAAAAGTTAGTTAATCGCTTTGTTAGTATAGCATATGGCAAGGTTTTTCTTTTACGAATAAAAGAAAGCAATACATCGAAAAAATATATATGTATCAAGGCGGATGCCTGACGAGGCTATGCTTTCGCGATATATACATGTTATATTTCGCGATAATCAGATTAACTAGACAAGCATACCCTCTCAACCGAAATGTTTCTGCTCCAATTGACTCGAATTTTATTCTATTCGATTCGATTCACTATTTAGTCTCGTATTATAATCCCGTGATATTATTTCCTCCGTTCATCTAGTCGTTGAGAAAATAAGTTTATCATAATTGGACTATGTATTATGCATACGCGAGATCTTAATATAGTCCCTAGTTGTAAAGAAATTTAAATCGACGAGCAATCCGTGTTTTCGCGAAAAATTTGATTAGAAACAAAGGGAAAAGTGTCTCAGAGTTGGGATACGAAGAAAGAAATTCAAAGTACTGTTTCAGATTGATCACACTGATTTTTAGTCTGTCAGTAACTAACGACACATACGTATTTATACATATGTCACGAACTTAACGAAATACATATGTAAACCTAACAATAATTCGTAACGTCGATACAATGTGCATGTGTCTTCGAATAGTTGCCTTTGTGTACCATGGGAATTAAGTAGATAATTTAAATATCGAGTAATGTCCATACGAACTATTTTTGAACGCTTTGAATAACTTGTTAACAAGATGAAGAGGGTGCGGCACTCTGGACCGACTCTCCTTGTAATATCTATTAGCGCATTCTCGATCACTCAATAAAATCAGTCACAGTGCGGCATTGTAGAAGTCGGTATGTCGCTATGATAGTTACACAACTGCTCTAGCTCCATAATTCCGCGAGTCTTCCACCGAAGTTAGCCGATTATCGACACTGCGAAATGTATTTTCACTATGTACACACAAAGCGATTCGAGAGGCCTCGAAATGAAAATCAGGTTTACACATCTTTCACCGTAGGAATTTTCTTTAGAGATATCGCCGTACAACTAAACAATTACACATATACATATGTTGAAACACGATATTTTGTCTCTTTTTCTCTTGGCACGCGTACGCAAACGCAATATAATGCCTAAAATTTGAGAAACATTGTAAAAACCAGTAGGAAAATTCACACTGAAAGATTAGGCTATAAATATATATTGACAATAATGTTTGTTTCGAGGGGACGGATAGACTATTTTTTACCCAACACAAACGAAAAATGTAAAGTAAAACGCTTCCTTTTACACGCATAGACACAAATTGAGAATGCGAGTAGACGTTCCGTTTTCGGAAAACTCGGAGAAAAATACTTTTATTGTTCAACCGGTATCGTTTAAATGAATTTATGTTTTTTAAATAGATATGGATATATTTACATACGTGCCAACAAATTATGAAACGGGAACTTATGAAATATTTTCCTTCGAGTCTTTCTCAAAAGCTTGAACCGAAGTGAAGGAAAAGAAATTCGAAAAGGGAAAACGTGAAAGAGAGAAGAGAGAGGCAAAAACTAAAATTTGAACAAGATAAATTTTAAGAAGAAAATGAGAAAGGTCATGATGATTATTTTTTAATACGGTGCTACTGAAAATAGATTTACGACGGCAAAACACATGCGAGCTACTATGAACTACAGACGCAAATAACTAGCTCGCTTATTCACGTCATGGTACCTGTTCTTCGTCAAAGTATACGCATTCTAAACTGTCTCAGTTCGATCGAACAAGTCAAGCAAAAGGATTGTTAGCCATTTTCGAATGGTGAGATTAAAATCGAGATGTCATGCTGGTACAAAGCGATTGAACGCACATTTGAATGAAACATCGATGTAGTTTTATATAATAAAATTGAATTAAAAGGGGAAAAAAATCAAATGTTTTCTTATATTATCGTATAGATTCTTTTCTTCGCTATCCTAATCTTTCTGTTCCACTTCTATCATAACCATTCACTTCCTAGTCTACGAAGTCTTAATTAAAATATTACTATTGAACGACAAAAGAAGTTTAAAAACTTCAACGTATACAAAATATTCAAGTTAATTTATTGCAAGTTCTGTAACCTCCAAAAATAAGTTTACATCTTGTTTAATTTCGCAGGAAACTAAAGAAACTGTGGTGCAACGCATGTACTCCTGCACTGTTCTATTTACATTTAAATGATTTAAAATTCAAAGCGCAATAATGACGAAACCGGTAATTATTTACAAAACAATTGATCTTGCTGATTTTAATTGCCTTGAGATATGTTGCCAAGGTTAACATCTTGTGTAACATCGTCTGCAGATATAATTGCTACCAAGCCTTGATCTTCAATACATACATACACAAAAGTACTTTTAATATTTGTTACTACGTAATTTCTTACTACATGTTTTCTAAGGATTTTGCTACATTTGGATCAGGTTTGGTTTAGATACAGGTTTGATTTAGACAGTAAATAATAAAAATGATTATAATTTTTTATCAAATTTTATAATACATTATTACTAGTGTCAATTTGAAAGGTAATTATAGATACCTCGCCAATTTCAATAACTTTAAAATGTGCCCTCAAGAAAATTCTAAATAATTTCACGTATATAACCGTCAACTTGGTTTTAAATTAGATGATATTTTTCGTGCACGCTTCATTATCATAAATGCACCCGAGTTTCAAAAAAAATAGAAGTAATGCTGTAAAAAAATATTTACCCAATTCAATATATATATATATATTTAGGTGATAAAGTGATATCGCATTATGCATCTGACAATGAGTGTTTTATATATAATAATGTGATATTATATATCGCTTTCGAATTTCCAAAACACTTACTTATGTATAAAATTATTTTCATTTTTATTTCTGAAACTGAAGTCTAGTGATAGTTTTATATCTACAGAAAATTATTCAGCATGTTGACCTTGCTAATATATCTTAAAGCTATTGAAATCGGTAGGATCAATTGCTTTGTAAATAATTACCACAAAATCTTATAAAAGTATGAACGCACGAAAAAAACAAAAATGCACCTATTATAAAATAATGAATGAAATTCGAAGATGAGCAATGATTTATGTAATAATCGATTCTAAACTTAATCGGTCATATGTATATCACATATTTATACATGAAAAACTATAATACAACGTATAAGTTAATTTAAAAAAAAAAGATTATTATCATTTTATAAACCACAAAACCATAAGCTGTACACAAATCAGTCTGATTGAGTGTTTGTAGATTCGTTTATTGCAATTTTGCTTCTTCCTTTGCTTTCCAAAGAATTAATTCCATACAAGCGATAGCATCCTCTTTACTATCATGTCCACCAACTATAACAAGAATTAAAATTAATTATAGGAGAATTGATATTGTATTTCATCCTAAACCGTAATGTGCAAGGAAAATAGAATGTCGTCATTAAATGATATCGTAAATAAAAAATAGATAAGTAGATGATTCTAAACTAACCGTCATTTTGGATGAGTTTTCTTAAATATTCGGAACAAAGATTCTTCAACGCTCTCTTTTGTGGATATCCATTTTTGTGCGGAAACATCACACTTGTATCGACCACAGTATCATGTAAGAGTCTCAAAGCTTTGAAGTCACTTTCTAAGCTGTGACCCACTAATATAGTTTTATCTGAAAACATGGTCAGTAATGTCGCTTGAACGTCCAATAACGTTGTTGTCACATCTTTCATATTTTCTTCTGTAATCCCAGAAAACCTGTATACGCGATTTCAATGATACAATAATTATTCATGAAAATTAAATATAGAGTAATTCTCATATATTCATATAAATAAATATAGAATAATTCTCATATATTCACACACATTTCTTAGAAAAAAAAAAAGAAGAAATATTTTAATATTTTTTCACCTGGTATTATAATCGATTATTGGATTTTGTGGATTGACTAACGACTCATATACTACACTGCAATCCTCATCAATGACTGTTATCCTAGTTAATTCCAATCCTTGAGTTGTGTAACACATTTCACAATCAAGTGCATATACTCCTTGTTCCTCGGCTGATGCATCTTAATTATAATAATGATAATAAGAAGAAGTAATAAAATACATATAAACTAAAATTGAAAATAAAAAAGAAATAAACGTTTATGAATTACCTTTTGGCAATGTTTTTACATAACCACGAAGATTTTCATAATCTGTATAATCCCATACATGTGTTTTTGCGTCACAACAGCCAGTTGCAGAACCATATTGTTGACAACAACTATATTTGCCTTCACCTCTAATTGTAAATTTTCTGCCCCAATGATATATACAGTTTTGTGGTTGCAAAGCAAATCCTTGTTTATCAATCATATAAGTCTGACCACATCGACTACAAATTCTTTCAGTAGGTATTTTTGACAGAACATTTCGTGAATTAGTTACATAGACTTTGGCACGACCCTGTAATTGAAAAAATTTGGACAGCAATATAAAAAAATAAACATTTTTACAAATATTTTATTTTTAAACATTTTTCACTTGTTTTACCTTTTGACCGTCTGGATGTGGCCGAGGAAAACCATTATCTCGAAGTTGTTGTTCCGTCAGTATCCATTTTTTTAACATACCATACAAAGCTGGACCTCTAAATTCCATAACAGATCTTTTTGTTTTAAGAACACTCCAGGAACCTTTAGCTTTCCCAGCAAGTACTGCTTCATGTGACACTGTACTACTACCTGGTATTGTTACTGTATTATTATCCACAGATGAATTTTGATCAGTTTCCTTTCTCAGTCTATGAGTAGCAAGCATACAAGAATTTTTGTAAACGGCTAATGCTTTGCATCTTTCATGACAAGCATATTCTTCTTTAACCGCACGTTGTGCTGCATCTTCGGCATTTGTGTAAATCAACACACATATATCATGCATCATATTCACATAATACTGACGAACATTCAAAGGAAATTTCTGCGTGGCTACTTGTAATGGCTCGGGACGAATTAACTGAGGAACCTAAAGCACGACCAAGACATATAATATAATATAACTTTGCATACTTATAATTAATTCTAAAACAATAATTACGAACCACTTGCGGAACATGAGCAATGCGTACACCACTCTTGGCCGTCTGTGCAGCTGTTTTAGAATTGTCTATTGTTTTTGATTCTACCGACTTTCCTACATTTTCTATTACCTTCTTTTTTTCTATTGCTAGAGATTTAGCATATGGTACATGAGCAATTCTGACACGACCTGTCATAAATATCGAATAAAATAAATCTCATATAGATAATTAATATAACAGAATTCACTTCTACTTGAAAAAATATCTTCATATAAATATTTTCTCAAAAAAGTTATGTACCATTTCCATTTAACTTTAATTCGCTGTTGCTCGCTGTTCCTATTACTTCAGGATAGTTTCGACTACTGCTTGCAGAAATTGTTTTTTCTGCTATAGCATCGCGCATTAGACGCCATCTTTCATACATTTTTTGTTGTGCAGTTATTAATTTTCTTGGCTGTTGATTAACTCCAATTTGTCTAGTGACACATGTAGCTGCTGAAGGATGTGCTACTCTTTTCTTACCAACCTCTTCTGTCTGTTCCTTTTCTTTTTCTTGCTGCATCGATGATTCTTTTGATAATTCTGCTGTCTTTGGTCGTTCTGGTACTTGATATTCCTTATAACATTAACAATAGAGAAATAAATATACACATTTATATTGTTATTTTAAAATTTTTTTAATTTCAATAAAATCATTACATTGACTACACATACCTGAAATATTTTTAAACACTCTTCTTGCACATCATGATCTGAGTCAGATGTACTGAAAGTTATATCAACATTATCAATGATACTATTATAATGATCATCATACTCTTCATCACTATCATCCATGAAATTCAGCTGAACACTTTTTAAAGAGTTTGAAGTTTTTTTTTCCTTACTTTCCGCATATTTTTCATCTAATTTACAGCTCGATTTTGAATGTTTATCATTTTTATCACTTTTGTTCTTAGAGTGTTCTTTCGAAGAACTCTTGGAATACTTATGGCGTTTTTCAGATCTATAATTATCCTTTCTGTCACTAGACTTGTGTTTGCTTTCATTTCTTTCTTTGTCTCTATCTTTTTCCTGATGTTTGTGTCTACTCCTATCTTTATCACGCTTCTTATCTTTCGATTCTTTGCTTCTGTGTCTCAAATGATTCTTACTTTTACTTTTACTATAGCTAGAATGCGATTTCTTACTTGATTTATGCTTATCTTTATACTTTTTGTGTGATGTACTGTGACTTTTATGTTTGCTCTTATCCTTATTTTTATATTCCTTTACACTTTCGACACTATTTTTATTCGAATCTATTACATTTCTTTCTTCACACTGTAAGGATTTTGAACTTTCCTCACTAGGGAACATTTCTTGTATCAGAGTATTACTATGTGTTAATATCTTTTCATTGTGGTTTTCTTTATTAACACATTCATTGCTTTCAATTGTTTTTGGAAAATGCACATCTTGTATATTGTTCAAACAATCAGATTTTTTTGCACTAGTATAAGATTTATTTTGTTCTAAGGTCTTAAACTCAATGGCTGTAGTACTAATTTTACTTATGTCATCATCATCCTTACTATCCTCTTCTTCATCATCAGAAAATTTTGGTTCAATATCCATAGAAGAATCTTGAGATAGCTTGCTAGACTCTACATCAGAAGTTGATTTAGAATGTATGAGCACCTCATCTATCATATTTGGATTTGTTCCAAAATTATCTAGTGTAGATTCATTCAATCCATCAGCAGTTTTTAATGGAGTTTTCACTTTTTTTGGAACATATTCTTCCCGTTTCTTTTTACTCTTTGGATAATAAGTTTCCCTGAGTTTAAGTAAATACTCACTTGAACTACCATCTTTACATGAGTTTAATGAAGTAGACTCTGATTTGCACGTAGGTATGTAACTTTGCATAGTGTCCCTAGCTTCAGGTGTGATTACACTAGGTTTGTATTTAATTTCAACGCTTTGAGGTTCTGTGGACTCATTGCCTATGTTTAACCATGGTTTAACTCCATCTGGAGAAGATTTACGTTTCACAGCTACTGTACGTTTCCTGGTTGGCATGTAGGATACTATTGGTATATGACGTTTCTTTAATTCTGCGATTGGTGTTGGATTATAAACGCATGGTTGCATATTAACCGATGCTGGTGTATTTGTACTTTCTTCCACTATGTTGGTCGTAACATTATTTACTGTACTGGATGATCCAGAGGTTAACGTCGGTTTTAGCCCTTCAACTACTTGAGAAACAACGTTCTCACAAGAAAATTTATTATCTACATCTGTAACAGTTCGATTAGCCAGGACTTTTTTGACAGCTTCTGTTACTAATTGTTGCAAAACGTCTGATTCTGATGTTCCATCTGTAGCAGCTTTGGATTCTTCAACTTGACCCGTGGAATGGTTTTCCACCATCTCGGTTGTCTCTGTGGTAATTCCAACATCTTCTAGAACAATTCGTAAACTGATATTTTCAATATAAATCGATATTTCGCGATAGAAAAGCTTTGACATGAAACTGGAATAAATTCGCCGAAAAATGTAAAAATTTTCATACGTAATGTATCTATGATGCAGAGAAAGTCAGACAACAAAGGGACTTACCTCGCTTCGCATGCTTGAAATGACAGTAAGGTCTATCGCACGCTCCACTTTCGTAAAATGGACAGTTAATAGTTTTAAAGTAACCAGTCGAAGGCAACATAACTATTTCATTGTACTTTATACTTTCGATCGCTCATTCTTTGATCAGAAAATACAATCTTCATACAGGAAGATTGGTTTTCAAACAAAATCAATCTTTGCAAACTTGTTTTATATGTCAAACATCATTGTTTTTTATAATTGATTAATGTACATGTGCGATAATTATTCGAGCGAGGTTTACGAATCTTTACAAGACGCATCGAAAACACGAAACTGGAAGCGAATCGGATCCCGAGAATAGAGGTTATGTACCTACCACAAACTCGTACACTACCCTATTTGCAGGTTGTTTGAAAGATTCATTCCCTTTCTTTCTCACCGCTCTACGCTACATCATTCTTTCTCCCACTTAGTCCTTTCCGATCACGATTATTTTTTATTTCCGTGAATTGTAATTCAAAATTTTAATTTTGGATATTTTAATTTGAATTTGATAGGATATCACATACATAAAATTTATAATAAATAATATTTATAATAATATTTATAATAATATATAATATAAGAAAATAATACACTTCTATGTGAGTGTTGAAAGTGAAAAGAATTTTTTAATTCGTTTTAATATTAATCGAAAATTTAAAATTAGTCTTAATTTTACGTATTTCTTATTCATATATATTTATTATAATGAACATAAAACAATTAATATATCGTTATAATAATGATGTATAACAAATGATCGTACGTATATTGTAATTGTTTTCTTAACTTAATTGTATAAATAAATATTCTACATATACTTGATCCGGATTAATAAAACTAACTTAACAAATGAAACTATTGGTAATTAAAATTATTCGGAAAGAAAAAGTATTATTTATATATGTTTCAAGTGATTTTACGCTCTTTGCTGAAATCTTAATTTTTAAATTTAATAAAAAGATTTTTTCTGAAATTCGTTAACAATTGAATCTGGTATGAGCGTTATTAAAAACTTACATTAAGCACTTAGCAATATTAATACATTTATAAATATTTTAATTTTAGTGAAACGTTCCGAAGTATCAAGTAAAATGCAACGTACATTGAAAAGCAAAGTTTAATTTCCTCGACTTTCGAACTATGTTTTTTTTTTAAACAAATCTTTATTTTCCAGTAGATAAGTATTCGTGTTGAACAAATTTCGTCAAGTACGCGCCTGATATGTACTATACTGTTATTCCCACCAAGCGATTCATGCGTTACCACATCTCTACGATTTCTTACTACCTATAGTTCAGCTAGTACAAAATGGTCGACGTGCCTTGACTGTATGATACAGATTGATAGATAAAACATTTTTGTTTTTCTATGAAGGAGTTAGATATAATAAACCACCTGTAACATTAATGGATTTATAAAGGTTATTGCGTTTCAGGTGTGTATCGTTTTTGATGCTAAGAGATATTTTTCAATAAGCAAAAAAGTAATTAAGTCGAGCATTCACCTGTCAATACGGCTTCCTTTTGGCAACAAAGTGTATACGTTGTCCTTATCAGAGTGTGAAATACTGCGTGTATAATTGATGCTTTCCACTTCGTAATAAATTTAAAATATCGTAGTTGTGTTACATCGTTTATTTACGAATTTTGTTTTGTTAAATCTTGCACGAAGAAATTCACGTCTTTACGGAATGTTTCTGAAATGATCAGCTTGGTATAACGCTGTTCATAATATCTATAAATGTTTCAGTGTCCGCTGTCGGGAAAATTAAATACAATTGTTAACCGTTGGGTGTGAAAGAAATGGAGAAACGACAGGAAATACTGGCTCCGTTTTCTTCTGGTAAGTTACTAATCAAAGACATGAATATATAATTTCTTCCTGTCAATATTATACACACACACACACACACACACACACATATAGATACTATTGTATACAATAAAAGGTTAAAAAGACGATCATAATATTCTTTAGAGAATTAATATTCTGTCTATGTTTTATTTATTGGAACCTTGTTTTTCTAATATAAGACTTATAAACATAGAATTGCACTATAGAGCTTTATTTGGGATGTATTAAAATATAGTGCATATGTATATAATTTTAAACATTTAACATAGAAAATTATATTGAAAAATTGATATATTCAGTAACAACATATAAAATTTGAATTAAAATTTATTTAGCTTAGCTAAATGTTAAGTTATATTATGATAATGTTTAATGTTAATATTTCATACAGATATCATATGAATAATCTTTTTTTATATATTTATAATAGAATGTATTACTATTTTTCAATGTCAGTAACTTCATATATAAATAAAGTCATATCAACTACAATTAATATCATAGATGTATTATAATTTAGTTTGTAATTTTTAAAATTTAATAAATAGAATAATAATTTGAAATAGGATAAATGTTATATGTATGTAATTTTTATTTTTATTTAATAATTGGAAGCAAATTTCTAGTGTATTGAATATTAGTTTTTATTTAGTTTAATATTTTGATCATAAACTTTTTAAAATAATATTTGTTTAAAGAAATTTGTTATTTGTTATATTTATAGGATATAGAATTTAATTTTCACATGATTGACTTCAGTGCTTCCATGACTATAAAATTGATACAAAAGATATAGTATTCTGTGTATTCTAACACACACTGATATTCTAAAATTATACATTTTATCAATACTTCAAAATATAGAACTTTAACTTAGAAAATATTTGTAGTAATTTATAGTAAGCAACAAGCTTAAATCATAATTAAAATGTTTTGGTGTATTTTATAATCCTTTCCTCGAATAAAAGTATAAAAATCGAAATGAATAAATTTAAATAATAACTTTTATGTAAAAATTAGTTAGCGTTTAAATGATATTAAATATCGAGAGAAATGTAAGAGTATGATCGAATAATGATGAATGAATTCGTCATTAGTGGGGTTAGTAGGATGGTAACTTAAACAGTATAAGATGAAATCCTATACAGATACACTGTCTTAAAAATATCTTGATTAAAATCTGATAATTCTTAGAAACAATGTTTAACTACGGAAGAAGGATTATGAATACGAAAGCGTAAGATAAAGTTACTGAAAAGGGCGGTAGTAAAGGTAGTTAGATTGAAGGTTGGAGGTCGGTTAAGGATCGGGGGTGCATGGAGGTGGGGTGGCACGCGCGGACCAACGGATCAATTCGCGCTTGGAAGCTACGGGGAAAAGCAACAGTGTGTCTACCCCCTGCTTCCCGGAAAAGTACTTGGTACGATTTAATCTCTTTTATTTATTCTCGATACTAGGATGACAATAAACGGTTTATCAGATCAACATGTGGGTATAATAGAACATTTTAATTAATTGAATATTTTCGTCAGCAGTGTCGTTAGTATCCGGACAGTTCGTATGACATTTACATCGAAACTTCTTCTTTTTTCGCTTTTTTTTGGCAAGATTGAACATGTAAATGTTGGATCAATTGTAACGAGAAGGCTGGTTTCGTCGAACGAAGTGACAGGATCGAGATGACAGTCTCATTTTTATTTATTATCAATTAAAGTTAGATCGATTTAGTAGTACTTGTTTCCGAATTCTGACATTTGACAGACGACCTTGGATTATCTGTGACCGATGTTAATTTAATAGAATAAAATTACTATTTCCAATGAGTTTCATTCTTTCAATGAAAGAGCCGGGTGAGTTTTATTTTTTTTTCGTGCTGATATTCGCACGTTTATAAAGTTGAAAATATGAATGCGTATCATACAAGAATTTGACCTGGTTTTCATTGTATATATCTTTATGTATTACTGACATGAGAACGGGAGGCTGCTGCAATTGTCACAAGCGGGTCCTATTTGTTCCTTTCGCAGTCAATAGGCGCGAGGACATTTGGATATCGGTTTTCTCGTATCTCGATGCAGTTCACGAAGTGCAATATTCCTTGTTACACGCGAGCACCGTCTTTTTCGTGGAAGAGTATCATCGTACAATCTTTTTCATAGTTTAAATACTATCTGTTGCAAGATTTAATGTATATTTTTACTGCCTAAAGTAACTGTTAAATGTGTTTAAATAATAATTCGTATTTTGTCTTATTTCTACGTCATGTAGTCATACGTGTAAAAAGATGTGTTTTTAATGTGCTTATAGATGAGTGTCCAAACAGTGGAGAGGATAGTGAAGAAGATGTAATAACTGACTATTTGGGATCATCGCATTCTGATTGCGATCGTATACCTATTATTAATGGAGATCTTGGTAGTTTAAATCTACATGGAAATATAATTACTGAGACCGGCTACACCAAAGACAATACAGAGAAAACGGCTATCACAATGTCTGAAGGGACTGATGAACAGCAGCAGCAACATTCATTGCTTTCACTTGGCACTAACAGTCAAGCTCAGACTAATCCGTTGGTGCCAATTATCAGTGTCACGCCTCACTCACCTGGTCTCGCCAAAAACTACCCAGTTTTAGGTAAACTTTTTTTATTCTTGTGTAACATTATGCATTACATTTCATTGAACTCAGTACCACTTGACACTGGAAAGTTCTATGTGCTTTTGTGGCTAACAATTTGTTCACCTCCTTGCAGAGGACAACTTGCAACATCTGCATGAAATCCATGATTGTATTCAGCGTATGAGAGATCTGACGCTGAGCAACTGGGGATATAATCATCGCACATCCCACAATGATGTACCTCAACGGTTAACTTCATCATGTCCTTCTCTATGTCCTTTCATTTCACCTGAAATTGCACCACGCTCAAGCAATAATGATACAGGATCTGATCCTGATCTCCTTGCTAACTGTTCCACCAACAGCTCTCCTACGCATTTTCCACCAGTAGGTGCTCGTTCACAGAATGCACAAGGTATAGACCGAAGACGCAGCTGGACTGACTTGGAAGATACTCGATTTGGACGTCGCAGATATTCTGGACAAAATCACCTACAAGCACAAAATATGGTTAATATTGTTCGATACATTTTTAAAGAAATACATTAAATTCATTGTACACATGTAGCATGAATATAATTGCTTCATTGCTTTTTCAATTTACTTTGTCAAAGTTTTTAATTACTCTTTTCATTATTATATTCAATGTTTTAACCATTACAATTTCAGCGACAGCGCAGTATTAGTTTAAGCAGCTTAGACAGTGAAATGGAAATAGAATTACATGGAAAATCTTGTAGCAGACCTGTAGGAGCTGGTAGTCGAGCATGCAGATCACAAGCAAGTACTCATTCTCTCAATGAAGCTGATCTTATACAAGTAAGAAGGATGCTTATGTTGAGAAGCTTCTTAAATGTTTAATTTGTAACAAAATACATCCAAAAAAATTTTTTTTAATAGAGCGAATATCAGAAGATAGTTACAAAACGATTCAAAGGTAGTCAAAGATTAGCAGACAGTAGTGGTTTAATGCCTGGTCTTACAGGCTCTCGTTTACCTCTTCAGAAATCTATTTCAACACCTTCAATTGTTACTCCTCAAGTTAATGCTCATTTATCAGAAACTGTAACTAGAACAACACCATCACTTACAGCGTAAGTTAAATAAAAGTATTTTTAGATTGAATAGCTAGATCAATAGTGATGGAAATTTCTGAACTATTATATTATCTATTAATAGATACGACGAGTATAGTTTTTAATATTTTAAAATTTGTAATACAAACTTTATATTTTAAAATTTTATTTTATTTTTAGTTTTGTATTAATTTAAATAATATCAATTTTTAACATTGCTAACAAATACTTAAAATCTACTGATCTAGCTTGCAATCTTTCTGTTATGTCATATACAAGTAGTATACAAAGTAACACATTTTATATGTATATAAAGTATAAGATATATGTATACATATATATATTTTTTTTACTTAAACTTAAATAATCTTTAAATTAATAGTAAAAAATAATTAATGCATGGTTTATCAATATATTCACAAAAGATTTTAAAATTTGCCTACATCTAAGAATGCTTGCATCAACTTGTATTTTGTAGATGAAAGTAGCATGATTGCACCATTTATTACTACATTTAAGTAATTTTCAATTTTTTAAAATTAAATTGCACTTGTATTGAAGTTAAAATATTAGTTCATCTTCATAATATTGAATTCCTAAAATTATTTAAAAAATTTGAATTTCACATTGAATAATCTAAATAATCATTTAATAATTATTTAAACAATCTTCTGTACATTCTAATTAACTTTGCGTCTTTGTGGCACTACTATCTCGGTGGAAAATCACGCGAGAATTTTTGACTTGCATCTTTTACACAATAGTCGCATACTTTGTGTTTGTACTTGACAATTTCCTACCATCCTGCATGGTACAGCCGACGTGAAAGAAACGAAAAGGGTAGTGGAAGTGAGACTGAAACTGAGGATCTTCACACTCCAAACAGCCATGAATTCCATGAAGACAGAGAAGGCACTCCAAATGCTCAGATATCCTTTGATGAGTTACTAACGGAGTGAGTATTATACAGTTTTTCACGTGTATATAGAGTGTTTGGTAACAAATAGTAAAAAAATTTAAGGAATGCTTCCATAAACTAAAAATTATAGATACATAAAAATGAAGAATAACAAAATTGCGTTTGAAGCTTTATTTATTAGTTATTGACATTTAAAAATCAATTAAATAATAAAATAAAAAATACAATACTATTAAATATGTTCATTTACAAAAATTTGTAAGAACAAGAGTCTTTTAATTCATAATATGTCACTGAGTAACGTGCAACATTGCTTGGTTTAGAAATAGTATGTTGATTGATTTTTAGGTAATAACGAGTAATAAACAAAGTAATGAACACAAACTTTTTTATTTCTTCTTTTCGTATTATTTTTGTATTGATTTGTAGAAGCAGCCTTTAAATCTTTTATCACTTGTTGTCAAGCACCTTATATAATATATTCTGCTAACAAGGCGCAAGGAAAAAAATAACTGGTTTGTATCGGCTTCATCATTAATTATGTTTTTTTATATCGTATACACACGACAATAAGATTGTAATGCTATTTAGATTTTTCTATGTGTTCTTTATTTTTTCATTGAAATATTCAGTAATGTAATAATTTAATTTATTTGTATTTTAATCATGTAATGTAAATACACCATATGTATCGCTTGTAAATATATTTATACTATGCTATAATCATTCTTATACTATACTGTTTTGTATTGTAAATTATTTTAATTAATTATATCACATATTAATTATAATATATATAAATATAATAAATGAATATAAATATATATGTTTACTTTTTAGTGGCACTGTATATGATGACCATCAATCAGAAAAAACTAGAAGAAAACGTGGTTCTATTTTTTTCCGTAAAAAAAAGGTATTAACATAAAATTATAAAAGATTTAAATATTTACATAGATAAAATATAAATAAGAATTACGTTGAAATTATAGGATAAAAGTACCATCAAAACTACATCAAGTATATCCTCAACTACAAGTAGTTATAATGTTAAGAGAGGATCTACTGCATCGTTACCTTTACCAACTTCTGGAAGTGGAAGGTAAATACCTTTTATTATTAAAATTATAGATTTCTTGCATTGGATCTGCGTATCAATGGTTCAAGATTCGCACGCAATTGGCATGGCTAGGCCTAAACTCGGAGTTTATTATAAACTCCTTTTATTTTGAACAGATATACAGTAGAACCTCCAGCATCCGAATTATTAGGAAGGCATGACTTTTTAGATGAGACAACTTTAAAATAGCTGAATAGCGACTATAGTTTGAAATGAATGATACAAGAATAATTATAAATGATAAGATGCAATACGAATGTAGCTTTTAATTACTTATTGATATCATTTTTTTTTTTCTGAAATATAAATTTCTTAGTATGTTGATGTGCACTGAATTACATTCTATTTAAGATCTAAACTATGTAAGTCCCTTTAATTATGTCACACATGCTTTGGCATAAAAAGGCACACCTTTATTGCTGTTTTCGTTAAATTTGTTTTCTTTTTTAGCACAAGAATCAAGCATATTTCTGACAATATTTTTATTAATTAATGCTGAAATTATGCTTTGATTAAATTTAAAATACTGTATTACTTTAATATTATTACATTCTTTATAATTCATGTACTAACAATTTTTGTTACATCATGTAATTTTATTTTTTGTTTATTAATCTTTTCAACTGTTGCTGTAAAAGAAATTTTCAAAATATACTTTTCATACAGTTTAATGACATTAAAATATTTAAGGAGTTTTATTAAATAATAGAAATATAGAATAATAAAATGTTTGAATGATAGGTTTTCGGATATTAGAGATTCTACTGTACTATATAAGTTAAAGAATATGTACACATATTTGCGCTCAGCAAGAAATTTGCGGTTTTTTAATTTTTCTCTGCTCAGATTTTTATAAAAATGTGTATCATCTGATAAAACTAACTAAACTTAATTACTTAATTTGTCATTTATCCATTGATAATTTAATATGATGAATTACCAATAAAATTTTGATAATCAGCACTTACATATATTTAAAATTTTAAATAATTTTTCATATTTTACTCTGTGAAATTTCTCTTATTGAATTTTTACACATGTGAAAAATAAATAGCTAGAGGAAGTATTATTATATCTGCTTATTATTCAGAAGCTTTGGCTGGCTCAAAAGCTTATTTCTAATTAATTTTGCAATTTAATCAATAGTATGGCAAGCTTTAGCGTGTTTATCCTCGCGTCTCTAACATTGATTAATAAAAAACATTTGCATATACATGTTAATTAACATACAAAATTCTATGCCCAAACTTCTTCAATCGTATGATTATTGTTTTTACAAGTTTAATATAAATCATAGATATACTAATGAAAAATGATAGTTTTCACAATTTAAAAAAGGTATACATGATCTTTTTTTAACACTGCACATCTATATACTCTTCGTTGCATTAAACTATGTTTCCAAAAAAGACAATGTTTCAAAAAGAGTGTATATTGTCAAGTAATATATGGAAACTGAGAAATGCTAGAATAAGAAAACTGAAGAAGAAAGGGAAACAAAAGCAAAATGAGGTTGCCCTAATGCAGTGTGTGCTTTTTCCTTTCCCCGTGCATTCCCTCTCGTGCAACGACAAACCAATCGATTGTTCAACGATTAAAGGGAAATTAACAGCAAGAAAGCCGTGACAAGCTACAGCCCTTGGCGGCGAGTTGCTACTAAGCTTGGAGTCAAGTAAGTCTCAGATGTCTGATGTGTTCCTTCTATTCTGTCGAAGCGTTCGTACGTTTCTGTTCGTATATTAAATCCTACACAGTAGTAGGATGACCCGCGTCTATCGTTCCTCGATTCTTTTCTCGCACACATTGTTTAAAAGGCAATTGAATTGCTTCTTTGTGTTGTATTGACAGAGACATCACCTTGCCCCTGCCTATGCTTCTGATATGCTTGCTTCTATTATTTATAATTATTCAGTGATATATTTTGTGTATACATCTCTTTTTACAACTTCATTCAAACATTATACTACAAACTTATAATTATCAAATGACTAAATAATTTCTTCATCAAGCATCATCAAGAATGAATATCTAGTATTCTCATGTTTCCAATTAATATGAATTTCTTTATTATCCTCCATTTTGTCTTTCCTCCATAGTATGAATGTGTAGCTTTATTTACAATCTCTTCCACATTAAATGTATCTCAGAATCTACACTCGCATCATTCGCAACTTTTGGATCAAGTTAGGGAAAATTATTGCGTTATCATGTCAAATTAATTATTTCTGAATGTCAAAGATATTTTTCAAAATAAAAATTAGAGATAGGAGGATTTAGTTAATCATTTATTATGTATTTATTTATTATGTTTCGAATTTATCTAATAAAATATGGAATTTTGCTGTTTTTGCTTATTTTCATTAAAATGAGCTGTAGATGTTTCAAAACTTTTATTTCTAGAATTATTCGCAGGGTCTGGTATATTTCAGTAATATCTTTATCGTAACGTTGAAAATATTATAAGAAAATTTCTATTTCTTAGGTTTCTTTTAGAAAATCAAGTTTTTGGAAAATATGATCATGTTTATTGAAATTCTACCTACAAAATAAATCTTTTATCGGATAAAGTTTTTGAAATCAATTCAATTAATTCAACTTTTGAAAATAGTGCATCTTATTATCATATCTTTAGGTAAGCATGCCATATGCTTTTTTTACTATGGTCAAGTTCATTCGCACATTGTATTTTAGCTCTATATTAAATAAAAATAAATAAAACAAAGAAAAGCCTTCATTATTCAAATTTTTAAAAGGCAAATAATCAATATAGACCACATTTGCGTTGAAACATATTATGTGATATAGAAATCTTTCAATAAAATCCTCATTTACATTCACTTAAATGGCATTAAACCCTTCGGTAGGTATAAATGACATATTGGAACGGCTATGAGACCTGCCGATTTGTTTTTGGATCTCATTGAAGAAGTGTCTAATTCTTTGTGCAGATACCAGAGATTACAGGAAAGGATCAAACTGGAAGGAGTCGACCAAGGAATCTAATTCGTTAATAATTAATGATTATTCATAAAAATAAAATAATCCGAATCAGTCCAAATTAGTCCAAATTGATCCAAAAATATTGTTACTACCTTGTTAGGTCTAAGGTACCGTTTTGTTAGCAAGTCGTACTGTGATTTCGAATATTTGCACATTTCTAATGTTTAATATATAAAAATCTGTTTATGACTGATAAGTAAACTATTAAAGGATTGTAATATGTTTAAAATATCTTCTTAAATCATATTGACCTTATAGATTTCTTTAATTAGAATTGCATTAATAATTTTGTGTCACTATTCCTTCTATTACTTCAAGTTATGATAAATGTGGCACTAATGTTTAGTTTTCAAATTAGCATTAAAATAAAATTGATTTTTAATGTATAATTTTAATCGAAATACAGTGTATGCAACATTTGTTTCTCTGTGGAAGAAACAGTATTTTGAAATATAAATTTATATCTTTCTTTCAGTCAAACAATAAATGAGGAGAGAGATGGAGATGGACGTGATATATCCAGGTTAGTAAAAACTTGTTAAAAAAAAAATTATTAAATTTTCTTCATGAAATGTCTAATTTATAATGGCGTTTTATTTAAAATAATATTGTAGTGGACTAGAAGGATATGACCTTGGAGACGACACTTACCAATTCACTGTGGGTGATCTGGAAGGCTTGGATCCTGAATTGGGCCTGGCAAAAGAGGAACCTGATTCTTGGAGTGCTGCCATTGGACATAACGTTGCATTGCGGCTAGCTGATAACTGTGAACGAAAAGTAAAAAGACAAGAACATATTTATGAGTTTGTACTTACGGAAAAACATCACTGTTTAGTACTTCTCGCTATGGAAAGAATTTTCGCGGAAGGTCTGCGACGTCACTTTCGTTTCGGTCAAGCAGATCTGGAACGCATGTTCCCAAGGCTACGTGATCTCATTGATATTCATTTACGATTTCTGCAAAAATTACGTAAAAGGCAAAATACAAATTCTATTGTTCCTACAATTGCTGATATATTAGTGGATCAATTCTCTGGAGAGAATGCACAACGTATGAAGAGTGCCTATGGGGAATTTTGTAGTCGTCACAGAGATGCTGTAGAAGCTTATAAGTATTATTTGCGTCATGATCCTCGATTTGCACGATTCGTGCGTCAATGTCAGGTAGAGTAACGTTTTTTCTTTATATATATATAAAACTTATTTTCTTATTTTATATTTTATATTTTATATATATATATATATATATATATGTGTGTATAATTAATGCTTGTATAGTCACATCCTTTGTTGAAGAAGAAAGGAATTCCTGAATGTATTTTATTTGTTACTCAACGTTTAACAAAATATCCACTGCTTGTGGAACCACTTATCAAAACGGGTATTGCGCAAGAAGAGGGTGAAGATTTACGCAAAGCTTTGGTTCTTGTTAAAGAAATTTTGGCAAATGTGGATACATGTGTTGCTGATAAGGAAAGGGAAGATAGAAAATTAGAAATTTATAATAAGTAAGAAAATTATATATTTTATAAAATATATATTTCCAATTCTTTCATAACTATTAATGATATGTCTCTTGTTATTATTATTTAGGATTGACGCAAAGTCTTTTGCGACATATCGTGGTGCCAAGTTCAAAAAATCAGATATTATGGCATTTAATAGAATTTTAAAATTCGAAGGTACTGCGTATTTAATGCAAGGTCGTGGAAAAATGACTGCCATTGTAGTGGTTGTTCTTTCTGACATATTATTTTTCTTGGCTGAAAGAGATCAGAAATATGCATTTTTTGTGCCTGACAATAAGGCTGGTATAGTGTCACTTCAAAAATTACTAGTTCGTGAAAAGGCGGGTCAAGAATCTAGAGGAATTTATTTAATAAGTAGCAATCCAGCTGAACCTGAGATGTTCGAGTTAAAAATTCAAAAGCCAAAAGATAAGCAATTGTGGATACAAGCAATTAGATCAGCAGTTGAAGCCTGTCCGCAAGAACCTGAAAATGAAACTGATATATCAACTGAAAGTAATAATAATAATGAATTAAGAGATACACGTTCCTCTTCTATATCGTTACTTTCTGTTGAAGAAAAACAACGTTTAGTCAAAACTAAAGAGTCGCATGTTCTTAAGATAGTTGGTATGTGTGATATCTTATTTTCATTAAATAATATATTATTATTATAATCTTATTATATTACATATATATTAATTTAAAAATTATATAATAAATATTTTATATTATTATAATTAGGTGAACTGCGAAAGAAGGATGCGGAACAGGCATTATTGCTCGAAGAAAAAATCAATTTACAAATACAACTTTTACATGCTGCTAATATTTGGAATGGAAATGAAAGTAGTGATAATGAGAAAATAGAAAAAGCTGATAAAGAAATTGCAGATTATACTAGATTAGTTCATAATGAAGGAACTGAAACCACACAGTTACGGCAAGAGGTTGTTCTATCTTATTGTATATATTTTTTAAAATTAAATTACTATTATAAAGGATATTCGAAAATTTCTATATATATTTTATTGAAATCAAAAACGGTTTATAAATCTTACGTCAAAAGTACAATATATGGAAAAAATGATAAATCACTTTTGCTCATTTAGTAATGTTTACTTTTTTTTATATAAGTTGCATTTAGTAAATTAAAACCGTATTTATCGAAATTACACAGATTTACAATGAAAATCGATTTATAGACAATTTAACATAATATTAGCTTTTTTACATCGATAAAAATAGCATTTCAAAATACATGAATAAATAATTATAACATTTCTTCCATGTTCATTTGACATTTTAGTCACATATTGTATTTATAATAACTTATTTTAATCATGTGTAAAACACTGTCAAAGTTAGTATGAAAAGTAATTTAATATCCTATATAATGCAATTGAAACTAAATAATCTATTTTGTAGGTGGTTGCAGCTATTCAAGAAGCAACAAAACTTGCTAGCTCATTATCTTTTAGTGCGGGTGGTGCTACTCTTTCGAGAAGTTTAAGTTCTGCAGGAGAGCGACATAGTGAGGCCTATGTTCCGTCTGCACTTTGTATTCCTCGAAGAGCTGAGACATTCGCGGGTTTTGATCATAACAAAGTAAATATACAATATATAACAGTTAAAATCAAAATAGTAATTACATCCATTTTTTCAGGAAAAATATCCGTTGCGAGAGTCTGCAATTCATTCTGTAATTTCTCTTCCAAAAGTTAGTGAATTTATGAAAGAAAATCCGGAAGAAAAAGGAAATCAAGATACAGAAATATGTAAAGAGCAACAATGGGCAGCGATTCGTTTGTCTCATCATGTTTATAGGTTGGTCTGTATAATTAGTAATCAAATGACGACAATTGACAGCCTACAGGCTCAATTAGCTGCGTGTAAAGAAGGTAGTATGGGCAAATTAAATAACAGACCTAATCCAAATCGCCAATTAGAAGAATTACGTAATTTACAAGATAAATTAAGTCAAGAAAAAGCAGCGTTTCGTGCCGCATCACAACAAGAACAAAAGCAATTAGAAGAAGAACGAGCCGAATTGGCAAGACTACGTGAACAATTAGCAGCGGAACAGAGAGATGTTACACAACAGCGAGATCAATTATATCGGCGGCTCGAAGCATTAGAACGACAAGGGGTGACATTAGTTACGAGTTCTACACCTAGTTCTACAACAATTCATCTATCTCATTTGACACAGGGATCTGATACCGTACAGACACGAAAAACGCAGCCGGATGCTAAAAGAATTCCGTTAAATTTAATTAGTGCTACTAATCAGCAAAAAGTGCAAAGTAATCTTCCAGTAAAACAACAGTTGCCTTTAAAACTTGCTAGTGGAAGCAACAATAATACTAGGCAAGTATATTAATTGGAAGATGTGTTTAAAGTACGAAAAATATAAAAGAAATTAACAATAATAATAATAATAATAATGATACATATCTGTCACGTACTTGTTTACTTTTTTTTCTTCAGTAGTTTTAATTTTAGGTAATTGTCTTCTGTTTGTCGTGGTTTTACTTGTTTCATTTTCTCCTTATTGTGTCTTATGTTTCGTAAACTCATTTTTAAGTAATTTTCTTAGTTTCCGTTTTCTCTTTGCTCACACATGCTCACTGTACGATCACACATACTTCCATGCATTATACAATAATTAATACAAGATATACTTTAATAATGCCTTTTTTATTTAATAAAAAATATAGAAGTGGAAACACGAGTAATAATAGTCCAGATCGGCATTCACGAACGGGAAGCAGTCCGGCAATTGTAACTGGCTCTACATATTCTTCACCGGAATTAGGAAACAATCATGCCGGTACGAGCCAAACTCATTCCTCGAATCGTTCGCTTCGAATTACACGATCGCCTCCAGAATATCCACATCAGCAACAGCATCAGAGAACGGAACAGCAGCAACCTTTGGAAGAAGAAGTAATTTTTTTCTGACGTTTCTTTCGTTTTGGTCGGAAACATTCTCGATCTTCTCGTCCTACAACTGGCGAAGCTACCCCGACTTCTACACTAACTCCCTCCCGAAATCAATCAAAAGATGCTCAACCTAGAAGTCGTGTAAAGTCATTTTGACTTTCAACATTTTCTCGGTAAGACTCTTTTACTATTGTTATATATTTTTTTCGTGATTCTACTATTACTTTTTTAATTTCTCCATTTTCATATCATGTTTATGATACGCTTCTTCCACGAACACTTCCTTCTTCCTTTTTTTACTTTCTTCTCTTCTTACTTGCCCGTGTCTTTCTTTCCATTCTCTTTTCTATTATTCTTCTTTCATTAACAATTTTATTCATGTTGTACATTGACAGATGCAACATAGTACATAAGTGATGCATTTAAGGTGTCCATAATAACAGTGTGATTGTCAATAAAAAAAAAAAAGAATATACATATTATTCTCAATAAATTGATAAAAGATAGTGTTACTTTTCAACTGCTACTGAAGGCAATAATATCATTTTTATGGAAATTCTCACAGAACCTATTATAAAGAGAAAAATAACTATAAAAGATATGTGGACAAATAAATTGATCAGTGCTCAGAAATATTTGCGAAAAAAGAAAAACGTGTTAAAATGGCCGGCTTAGTGAGATAGATCAGCCGATCTTGTTAAATTCTTACGCGTTATGTTATTAAGCCGACTGACAGTTTTAGAAACATGATTTTAGACGAATCTTTTAAGCAAATCTGTTGCAGCCTGTTGAAAATGCAAAATAGAAAAAAGTACATTACATTAGGATTGCATATACATGAATATGTGTATAGATATACTTTTTCATGACATATGTATGACATCATGTATGTTGAGAATGAAACGCGCGAAAATATATGCGTGCATATGAATGAAATTTAATGAATGTGCCGCGTTTAATGAATGTAATTTCATTTTGTGGCACGTATACATGTATATTTCTTATGTATATGTACGAATGTGTGAGTGACCGCAGTAACTATTCTTATACCATAACTTTAAAAGTATTTTAATACGTGCTAAAACGACGGGTAAGATCTATTGTTAACAGTAATGCATTGCTATTATGTGTGCCAAGCCACAGGTCGAAATCGTTAATTATATGAATTTAATTATTTCTGTAACGATTATAAATCCTCTTTAATTGAATCGACAATAGTCCAAGCGGTATTTTATATTTGATATTTTTCTTCGAGATTATTCACTGCCATTATCATTAATCTGTAACCGTTTTTTTCTTTCCGTCTTTTTTTTTTTAGTAACATACAAGCTATTTTATTTATTGCATTATGTAAGATCAGTGATGATTCTTGATTGTGAACTATTTTATTTATACTTTATATGAGACTTTTTTCATGAAGAAAACTTTCGAAGAATGTTCCAGAGAAAGTATTATACAAAGATTGATCATACTGCACGTCTAAAATATTAGATAAAAGATAATCTCAGAAATGTGGCTTTAGAATGTGGATCATCGTTGTAAAGTCAAAATTGTTTCTTTTGATACACAAATCTATTTAGATTTTAGCTTGAAGATTAGTGTTTATCTCAAAAGATACTGTAACGTGCAATATGATCGAATAGAAGGACAGCGTCGTCGAGGCACGATGATAAAAATGTGACTAATTAATTTATCTTTGTAAGGAAATATAAGTAATGCTATCGACTTGTCTCAATCAATCGTGGTGACAATAGTTCTTAAAAGTATTTCTGTAAGATGTAAAAAAAAATAATTGAGTTCTTACAAGTCTATTACTAAAAAAAAAAAAAAATACCGAGCATATATTAGCTCATAAATGATATTGTATTAACCTGTTAGTAGCCTTTATGGATGAGTGTTCGACTTCATTTCAAGAACACTTAATACAAATTAAAATATTCTTAATGTCGTAATGCTCATTATAAGGAAAACACGAAACATATATGAAAAGTAAATTTTAACGCTGGAACGTAATTCCAAGAAATCATTCCAGATAGATATTAGAAATTATATATACATATGTATATATATAATTATGTAAATATATATACATTTATATATATAATTTAATTGCATATACACACACACACACACACACACACACACATATATATATAAATATATATTAAAGAATGTATTCTTTATGTACATTAAGAACGTTGCATTATGTCAAATGTAGCTTGATACCAGTAAAATTTATTGTTATTAAATATTATCCTTGTGCAATGAAGTCGCACACCATCTTCAGGGTAATGCGAAGAATCAAATTGGAATAACAACTAAGGAGTAGTGCGGCGGCCTACATGCGTCTTGTGGCATCTGAAATATTTGACGTCACTGGACAGCATAAGTTTAAGAAAGGATATAAAAAATTATTAGCAACGCGGTTTTCCACGTTTTAGTGAATCTTTACGTCCCTGACGCTCATGGGAAGTATTTTTGTACGTTTACTCTGTACCTACTATTTTACTCTAAAACTATATATCTACTGTTATCATTGTGATACTCGCAACTGCGATCGTCTTTGGAAACGTTAACATAAAATTATACCTAATAAGTAAACGCGTATTTGTTTTAAGACGCGTTTACTTGATACGTCAGCATTAATTCTCTTAGAATTTAACAATTTTAAACTAAAAGCCGTTACGTCGGTTATATACTAATATTAATTGTTATTATTGTTATTTGCTTGATTACTTTATCAAGATTACCATTTATTCACAATACGCTAAATGCAACTATTTTATAACAAATGCACGTCGTAAAGCTCCTATTTTAATAATTCCTTATATATTGCGAAATGAAATAATTTTTCCAGAAGGCGATATCCATAGAAATTAATCTGTTACTTGGCAAGAGTAAACAAATATTTACGATATTTTTCTTCCTGTTTCAATTCTATACGGATATATACACACTGGTATGTGATTTACATTCCTTAACGTTTATATATACACATGCTACATTTTTCAATTGATACATCAATCGCCGTTAAATCATTAACCGCATAAAGAAATAATATCTATTTATTATAAATGTACATACAACTGTTATTGTAATAAAGAAAAACGTGAGGGAAATGTACGATTACGTTAATGTTACACGTAATATTTCTCTTCTGTTTATTATATTTACTTACAAAAATTTTTTTGCATTTATAAATTTTTATCCTATCACTTTTATTTTAATATGGCTTAGTCCTGTGTTGATGATCCCGTACTTTACTAGTGCCAATTTTTGCCACCAATTTGTGGCTAGAATTTTTTTGAATGGGTACAGTTTCACTTGGCCTCCAAATGTTTATAAGTCCACCTTCACCTACTGTTACCAAAGAACCACTCTACAAATGATATATGATATTAATTAAAATGACATAAATTTCATTAATTTTATTTATATTAAAATTATACCTTTTCGTGTAACCAGCTATCACGTACTATTTGTTTATTTCCTATCATATTATAATATGTTTCTAGTCGATTATTTACGACATTTAAACATCTCAAATTTTCCCTAAAATATTTTAATACAAAATATGTGAAAAACATTGCAAATATATTGCATAAAACTAATTATTGATGTTCAAATATTTAATTAATATCAATAAAAATATCATTAATTTTGATGTTATACTATCTCATACTATTAAGTTTTTGAGGCAGAAAGCAATTTACCCTTTAACACTACTAAAACCTGCAAGAAGAAATGGTTGTTCAAATACATTTGAAGCATGAAATTTGACTATATAACAATCATCTGGATCATCGTTCTAAAAAAAATAATGTAAATTATTATAAAAGTTATCATAAAATATTTTTGTTGATGTTTTATCATCAAGATTTAGAACTAATATTTTATATAAACATTTATATTAATTACTCTATTAACCTGGAAAATTGCTATATTACTGCGATTAAATTTAGCATATGGAGTTACTTCATCATAGTCCCAAAGTTGTAGTGAATTGTGTGTAGTGCACCAAAGATTATCGTCACTTAACCAACCTATCCTATCCTATATTTTTGTTTAAAATAGATTTTAATTTTTATTTTTCTACGGTATAAATATTTATCAGATTTTATAAGGACTAAACTTACCACAGATGATTCTGTATTTAAAGAGGAAGTTAATGCAGAATCTTCTGATGGTTGTGTGAGATCGAAGACATTAATTAATCCATCTGTACTACCAGATGCTAAGACATCCTGTTTACTAGAATGAAATGCCAACGAGACAACATCTTCCATATGAGATTCCCAGTATCCACCAAGGAGATTATTTCTATCATCTAATTTTGAACTACTATGCCGAGCATCCCAAAATAAAATAAATGCATCTCCTGCAATATGCTCTGTACCACCTGCTACAAGCTTTTCATCGCAGCTAACGTCAAAACTACAAAGAGGTTTTGTTTTACCATCTTCTGTATTATCTGAAAACCAAAAAAGAAGTATATTAAATATGTAAATTTAATTTATGTACCTTTTATTCTATTCTATTCTTTTTTTTTTTACTGAATTTATGAATAGATACCTTTAAACTTTGCAACAACTTTGCCTTTAGCTCTTAAGTCACATGCTGTAATTTCTCCATTGTTGGTAGCTGTATATAAAATATTTTTAGAAGTAGGACTAAACTTAATACCAACAATAGGTGCTTGATTGTGAGTTAATGTAGCAGTTTGATTGAAACTCTCCCCAACAGAATATATTACACACGTATAGTCAGAAAAAGCTGTACAAATTCTAAATTCTGGATCACTATACATAAAAGTTAATTCGTAAGACATTTTGTAAATATTTTTTGTAGTACATATAATTATGAGTCAGTTCACGTCAAATCCAAATGTAATATTAAATGTATTTTAAATATATTTATCTAATTATGAAAATTTGTTTCTTAATCTTATACTTAATTAAATATAAGTAAAATAACAAACAATACTAAAATAATTGAAAAATTAAAGATATTTATAATGCTTATATTTAATTTCATTTACTACAATACTTATTAACTGCTAAATATTTTTTCCAATCACAATGTATTAAATGAAATGAACTTAAAAAAATTATCGATCTCTCTATAAAATAATCATACATGTTTTAAATGAAATAGAGGAAAAATTGCAAGGCAATACATATTAAACATATAAGTACACATTTAGAAATGTTTAAAGTTTAAAGAATACCATACTTTTTTAAACTAGATTTGACGTAAATACTCCATTAGAATAAACAAGATTTGCCTTTGCGTTCCACAAACAGCAAGAATATAATTATGATCAGAAGATACTGCTTTTTCCATCGACGATATTAACTCGCTTTTCCTTTTAATGACTCGATTGTCATCATGTTTGTGCGTCCTATGTTCAACACTTAATTTTTTCAACGATTCAACTATTTTAGCCATGCTGTTTGTTTTCAGGATTCTGAACAGATATCATAAAATTAAGGTTAATATCATGTTTTCTTAAATGTAAGATATCTATCACTTTGGATTAAATCAAAACTATTAGAGAAGAGTTTTCAACTTCTTCTTTTGCATGAAAAATTATTCAATACACACGTTTTTTTCTTTACTTTAATTGTGAGTTTTAGCAGATCACGCTGTATATAGACGTTGAGTTTTAAAAAGTTTTTTGAAAAACTGACGTAAACCATGAAGTTTGTCTAGTATTAGATCTCGTTTGTGGTATCAATGGTGGAATTAAGATAGATATACTACTTTATCGACAGTAGTTCTACTTTGCAAAATTTTAATTATCCAAATTTAAAAAAAACACATTTAATAATTATATTTATCAGCAGTATTGTTCATCTAGAAGAGGGCATTTGACTTAAGTAAACTATTCTCTTTTCTTTCTTACTGTATTATTTTAAGTACATATGTACAAAATATTAGATAGGTTCGAGAGATGTCTTCTCATAAAAATGTGGTGCTAATTCTAATAACCATTCTGGTTGTATCACAGTTATATCCTTCATATACGTTTTATTTGTTTGCAAAACTTCGTAGAACAATAACCTTTAAGAAAAACAGAGACTCAGTATAATGTGTATGATGTTATAAAAACACAAAACAAGTGTACAAACCATTGAGGTTGCTGAAATGTATATAAACAGCTATTTGGATGTATATACAGATCCTTATTTCCATGTACTGTTTTATATACGCCAGTGTAATGTAAGTATGCCGCTTTCGGGAAAAGTCCAGCGGTTATACATTTTAAAATTTGTTGTACATTTCCTTGAAGAGAAATTAACTGTTATTAGAAAATTTTCATAATAATATAGTTTAAAATTTTGCAGTTTAATTTACCATTACATGAAACCAACGATATATCTAATTTCTCCATCATAGAGTGCATTTGCGTTCGAATTTCCGTAGCTCTGCGTAAAGCTTTGTTATTGAGGAACTGCTTTTGACACCAACTAGGCGTTTTATTTTTTTCATAAGCGGTATATACATTTAGTAACGTTAATAAATCTCCTTCTTCAACTTCGAATTTTCTATGCGCTATTCTTGCCTTTATAGCAGCTTGGCCTCCAGCTGGTTTTATAAAAACATTTTGCACTTGAAGCATAGCTAAAATCGTAGATAATTCCTCAGAACATCCCATTTCGCCTATATTCGTACAAAACAATTTTATATTTAAATAATTAATATAAAAATAATTAATTATAATGTAATATTGTATAATTTTACCTGATACTATAAGAGATTTTGCCAAAACAGGTTCTAGCGGCATTTCTGCCATTGTTATGCCTAATGGCATTGTTAATTCTCCATTATTATCAATTGCCCCTAATGAATAAAGTAATTCTAATCCAGTAAGAAGATTTTTACTCGGTGGAGCAGAAGGAAAATTAAATCTTAATACATTATCAATTCCTAAAGCTTTCAATTGCAATATAGCTGGCGCCAGATCCGAGCGTTGCATTTCTGGTGGCGTTGCCTCAAATAGTTCTGAATACGCTTCTTCTGTATACAATCTAGATTTTAAATGAAACTTTCAAAAATATGAAAATATAAACCAACGAATAAATTTCTATTAAATATTTAAATAATTGAAATATTTACAAGAATTGTATACCTATATGCTTTTCCTGTTTGAACACGACCGGCTCGGCCAGCACGTTGGTCAGCGGATGCTTTGGATACAGGAACAATCACGAGCGAATTTGTTTGAGTTTCAGCCTCATACCAAGGAATTTTTACAAAGCCACAATCGATAACTAGATAGAAATTTCAATATCATTTTTATACCGAATTTTATAAATTTTTATTGTATTTAAATAATAATAATAATAGGAATATTTTCTTCAGAACGTAAATAATAAAACCAATACTTTATTAAATTCATACCATAAACAATGTTTGGAATAGTGATGGATGTTTCTGCAATGTTTGTGGCTACGATAACTTTACGAGTATCTTTGGCAGCCCTCCAAAATACTTTCAGTTGTTCTGAGTTCGGAAGAGAACCGTACATTGCGAGAGGTAAAAGTTTTACTAAAAAGGAACAGTAGAAGGACACTGATAAAATCTATCTTAAACTTTGAACAGTTATATAACAGGACAATGACAACGAGGGTATCATTCCGTATCCTACTCACGTTTGCCTTCCTTTATAAGTTTTGCATGCTCTGATAAAAGAGAAACTGCTTGATCTACTTCGTCCAAACCCGTAAGAAACGCTAGAATATCACCAGGTTCTTCGTTTTCATGAATTTTTAAAGCAATATCTACCACACTGGTCACATAATTAGCTATTGGATCTAAAATAAAATGCAGGAATATTGATATAAACAATGCGTTTATGCGAAACACAAAATTGAAAGAGAAAGAAATCTCATAGAACCGCATAGAAAATAAGAAAAAATAACGATCAATAGTAGTAGATAAAAAACTTAGAAAAATAAATTGTAAAAAATAATAAAAAAATATTGATGATTAATAATAAATTTATTTGTGAATTGACCTAGACATTACTTGTAGAATAATTTAATGTAATTATATATGTAAATATACCTCTAATGTAGAAAATATCCACTGGATAAAGTCTACCTTCGATGGTAAGTATAACTGCAGTGTCTTTCGTTGAATCCCTGGTTGTATTTGTATTGAAAAAATCTCGGAGCTGTTCCGCATCGACTGTAGCAGAACAAACAACAATCCGCAAACTCCTTCGTTTCTAAAACAAAACAAATTTTTTATGACAACTAGTATATCTTCTATTTAGGTTTAAATCTATGAATTTATAATCTTCAATTACCCGAATTATTTTCTTCAAAAGTCCCATAATAATATCCGTAAGAAGAGTCCTTTCATGTACTTCATCCACCACAATCACGGAATAACTTGTTAGCAAAGGATCGCTCATTAATTCACGAAGTAGAATTCCTTCTGTCATATACTATCAATAATGTAATTTTATTTAATTGCTGACTATATATAATTTTTTTATTATTATTACAATTATATTATATTGTGTATACATATCTAACTTTTATTACTTTATTAAACACTTTGCTATTTTTACTTAGATTTCTTACATCGATAAATATTGTATTATATACATATTTACATTATCGAGAAAAAATATTAATTTATAATAATAATTTTTGTAATATTGTTGTGAAATTAGAATTAATTATTCCTCATGTGACATAAATTAGTAAAAGTTAGTTAAAAGTGGAAGAGTTGAGAAAGGAAATTGAAAAATTCTCAACTGAAAGGTTGAAAAATTGAAAAAGAGTATAAAAAAAGTATAGAGACAAAATTGAAAAAGAGTCAAAGTATAGAGACAATTTAACAACTGTCGTGTCAAATAGAAGTTAGTCTGGAATTTATTATTATTTCATTTATTTTTGTAACGAATGGATATTGATAATATATGTATCTCATCTCCCTCATTGCATTAATTAATTTTAAAATAATACCTTGATTTTTGTGGTTTCGTCTGTATAATTATCGAAACGAATAGAATATCCAACTTCAGTGCCTAAAATACAATTACGTTCATCAGCAACACGATTAGATAAAGAAGTAGCTGCAACCCTTCTTGGTTCTGTGATGCCAATCATTTTTCCATCTGCACACCATCCTGCTTCAAGAAGATACTGTAATCATTTTAAAAAATAAAAAAATACTTTTTGTAATTAACTAAATATATATATGTTATATAGTTTAGTTTAATATATAATAATATAGTATAATACAATATAATATAATAATATAGATTTAATGCATAAAAAAAAATGTAACAAATATTTTATAGTTTGGAAACATTAAAATATAAACATAATTCGTAATATAATTTTGTAAAATGTATTTAATATTCTGTAAAATAATCTACTAGTATAATAATAATAATTTAACAAGTACCAAGAGTAATAATTATTGCTTGATGTTCCTAATATTAACTTCTAATATTAATAAATGTAGTTAATTAGTAATGTTACATATCGATGTGCGACATTGAAATAATATAAGTTTAGGACACGTTCGTGTCCATACTATATTAGTATTCATATTGTGATAAATTATTTAATTTGTTAGCATTATTTATTTTTGAAAAATCAATAATTATTTACAAGAATCTACATGACATAGTCATGAAATTAAAGAAATCCTACAAAAAATATTGTAGATCGCATTTATATTTTTGTCTAAATACTTGATATTTTATTTATTTCTTGTTGAAATGTTATTGCTACGAATATTCACTATTAATAATAAATGCAAAAAAACACTAAAATATGTATACAGTAAATGTTATAAAAACTAATATTATAGTTACATAATTCTTGAATATTGTTTATTTAATAATGCAATTTTTTTTATATTTGCAATATATTTTACATAGGTATATATTACTTTTTTATATTCTATAGGATTATTATATTAATATGAAATATATTTTACAAAAATTACAAAAAATAATGTTCTATTTCACGTTCATTTTGGACATGAAGTTAATGCTTATGAATTATGTAGTATTAATGTAGTAGAATATGTAGAATTATGTAGTAAAATATAATAGTTATAAAACTTTATTTAATATCCAGTACAACTATCACTTTTTTTAATGCAAGATAACAAAGGCATAGTAAATAAACCATGTGTCATATAAGTAAAATTTATATTTTACACAAATTTGATTAGTACACTGTGAAATGCACTGATCGCTTTTCAAGTTCAACGCGAAGCTCTATACTCTGAAATCTACTACCAGCTTTAGCACATATCCCGTAACGGAGGAATATTACATATATTACGTCTTTGTAGTTCAATGTCATATTTATATCGGATTTTATTGAAAGCTTATTATACCACGTGACTTCGGCAAACTTACAAGTACTATAACGAGGTAACCCGCAACATTGGATCACATTAAAATGCAGTTAAAGGCAAGAAATCGTCAATTATTACAAGTAAAAAATGCAAAATTATATATTTTATGCACTTAATATTAATGATTATCACATATCAACATATATTAATTAACTTGTATATTTAACATAAATACATATTTATATCATATATAATAATACAACCTATATATTATTATTCGAATTTAATGATTAAATCGAAATACGCAATAATTGTATTTCATATTTTAATCTGCACTACAGGTATAAAAAACATACTAAAAAAATTTTATTAAATTTGAATACACTTTGATCATATTATTATATTATCCTTTAATAGTATATGTTATTGTTTATGTTATGTAACTAAATATTAACATTAAAACCCCTCAAATGAATCATCAACCATCACAGCAATACCACCAAAATAAATAATCAGACAGTTAAACAATGTATCTTAATAGTCATATTTTACAAATACAAAATTAATATATACTACATACATAGTTACATAACTAGGAAGACAGATATATTATTAAATAATTTAGTAATGTAAATTATTACTAATTATTATCTTTGCTTAAAACATATGAATTAATATATATTATAACTTACAAATGATTTAAGAAAATTATTCTTGAAAATTTTGGCTATAATTGAACATTATAAATTTTAGAACTAAATTAAAATAAAAATTAATAATTTTATTAGTTTGTCATTTAAGGGGTTATACACATTTTTTTCATATATCAGTCTGGTATGTATATAAAATACATGCAGAAAAATAGAAAATACAAAAAATTGTATCAAGATATTGTTTCCATAGACAAATTTGCAAATTTCAGTGTACAATTCATTTTAGTCATTATATATCACCAATAACGAATAGTAGAAAACAATGTTTTCCAATATTCACGCTGTCATCCTTGAGTATATACATCAGATGAAGATATCTCTTCATCAATCAATGATGGTACATCTTGTATAAATGTATAGGCCCGCAAAAAATGAAATTCAGTTACATAAACAAGTAATAATACAACAACATACGAAGACCATCTTATAAGTCTAATATATTCCCGCATACGATCAAAAAATATTGCTAACAGCAAATAATCCATGACAGCATGAAAATTTAAAAACTTCCAGCAAAGAGTTATTATTGTAAAGGACGAGCTTCTGAATACAGTTGTCTGTCTAGCATAAAGATGTTCTCTACTAATTGATGGTGTTCTATATTCAGTCTCAAGAAGATCTTGATATAAATATATATATCGATTCCAGGCGGCACTGGTGAGGAACAAATGGACGGTCATAAGTAATATGTTACGAAGCGCTGCATTTGAAGTTTTCAGAGTTACATTTCCAGGTTCCAAAACTGAAGATACAGGAAGTTGTGGCAGCTTGTCATATCCTCCACGTCTACTTGAGTTACGGGCAAGGAATTGATATAAACCAATAATAAACGCAACACAACCTAAAGCATCACAAATACCATCAATAATGTAACCAGACGAACCAACATCTGAACGTTCACCATTAATATTTGCTCTTTTTCTAGCAACATGTCCATCTAGATCATCTAGCCATGTCCTTGCTTGAAACAGTATTACACCTAGGCGTCTATAAGACAATGAATCATTGGAAACACATTTACCAGCCAATACTGCTATTAATACATGGAAACAACTGATTGCATTTGGCGTCACCCATATCCAAGAACTGCTTATATGCAGCAAATCATCCATGATAGCTGCAAGAGGACTCAAAAGAAAATGGTTTGGATGATCAAGCATTAATCCTTTTACAGTCACTGTACATAACGGATTAAAATCACAAGGTATGATTGAAACATATCGTGTACCATTTGATGTAGGTCTTATATCATAATTTTGTACTCTAGAATACAATAGAAGGTCCATTCCAAGAAAATATAATGTCATTAATATCAAAATTGCTAGGAATGACCTGCTTACTAGAGTTGTTGAACTAAACATTTTGTATATAAATTTGGCACGTATAAATTGGTATATTCCTGTTATATCTTCATAACATTCTTCTTGTATTATGTCATGATCTTCTTTATAGTAGATTCAAATGTATTGCAGATATGTGGTTAATTTAAATGTACACTGTCATTAAATATTAGCAATAAATTCATTGATCAATAACTTTGTTATACATACTTCTTTAATGTAACATGAATAAAAAACACACGTTCATTTATTATTTTAAAACAATGTTATTGTAATATTCACTTTTTCGATGTAATGACATGCAATAATATACTGTCGTTTAACTTTCGAACTCATCACGTGATTTTGATGGTTTTTATATCATATCTTTCGTAGGATAATGGTATTATTATGATAAATAACAGTACTTTGATCTGTAATAAATAATACTGCGACATTCAGCGATGTTCAGCATAGCGTGATTCCACATGGATACATGAAATCTTTCTGAATGTACTATTTTGATTGATTAATTGATACCATGCCATATTTTATTCGAGTATTTAAAGAACAATTTAATGAACAACGTCATGTTATTCTGATAACATGAAACCTTTTTAATAATTATGTTTTAGTCGCACTATTGTCACATAATTCGTTTTTTTAATTGTCCGATAGCAAAATAGTTAATTATAAAATTTATTGTTTCATGATATTTCTTTTTACGATACATGATTGTTAATCAAATTTAGAATATCGTTATTGTTACCGGCAAATTTTATTAACACATATTACAATTTGGACAAATAATGAAGTGTACTGTCGTATCTTGTTTGACTACAACAGAATGGCGATACAATGTGATCTTTACGTAGGCGCGTGCGCAAGTTTATGAAATACTAAAAGTTTCTATTAGATCTGTTTATACGATTTATATATATAATATATAATAGTATATGATCAAAATTTACGTATGAATAGACATAAGGTGATTCCTTATAAAACAATAAGAAAAAAACCTATAAAAATTTTTTCCTTTGAGCAGAAAATTAATTTTAAATATTTATTAAGTATATAAGTATATATTAAGCTAATTCTTAACTAAACATATTCGAAGTTTATTTTTTTCGGAAATAATGTTTTAAATAAAATTTTAATGTACATTTTTTATTTATTTTCATATAACCTTTTGTTCATTGTTTGATCATATTCGATCTGTAATTAGATAAATTCACGCAAACAAATTTTCAAATTCGGTTTTCTTGAAACTAAGATTCGAATGAAAAGATTTTACTTTATATTTTTCTTTCTTATGTTTTTACGAGGAATCAATTCGTTTATGCTTTTAGACATCTTATATATTATGTACATAAGATTATAAATAGTAAATATTATATATACATAAGAAAAGCAATCAATAAAATTATACTGACTATCACATATATTTACACACACGTAAAAATATAATAAAATTATTTCAAATATTACAGATGATTTAAAAAATGAACAAGGAATAACATTCAATAACATATTAACAATATTTTGATTTTTAATTTGATAGAGATAAAATTCTATAACTCTATAATAGTATGATATATATATATATATATATAAAACTTTATACAAAAGATAACAACAAATATGTATATATGTTATATTATTTTATTATATCTTAAATTTATATAAAACAATTTTACAATTTTATTTAATATAGAGTAAAATTCATATTATCTATTAAAATTTTATCTCTTTATATTATAAAATTTGTTCAAAATAAGAACATACCTGAGGTAATTGTGTACTTTTTCCACATCCAGTTTCACCAATCAAGACCAATGTTTGATATTTTTCCAGTAAGTATATAATATGATTTTTATATTTAAATGTAGGTAGTCGTTGACGTTGCATGTTAAGTGCAAGGGAATGATGTGCATTATATACAAATTGTGTAGATGAATGGGCTTCTATATCTGGTTTATCCTCTTGCCACATACTATCTCCTGCAATTTAAAAGATTATCAAATGAATATAATTTTTCTCACTAGAGTATGTATATACATAAATATATGGAATACAAAACAGCGCACTCACACACAGCACTCACACACACACACAAAATTCACAATAGGTTATGTCATACAATTGTATATGTAAATACATAATATTTTTAAATCATTTATAATCCAAAAGAAATACAATATTAGCAAATAAAAATAAAAAGAAAGAAAATTATTCTTTTAATAGTTTGTACAGATAATGAATTTAAACAGAATTGCACCTACCAGGTTTAGAGAAAATCAGTTTTGTAGTCATTTTATATAATTATGTAAACGACACAATGAAACAAAATTATTTTTCAAATATGTCCTTAAACTATAAACTCGTGTATTTAAATACTAATTACACAATTTGAATGAACAAATACCGCCCGGTACATACATACTCATATACATCGTCTGTGACACATACTTTCACAACTGTCAAATTTTTTAAAGCTTTAATCCTCCTATAGATGACACTGTATATAATTTGAAAACATTTGAACTATATTAAAAAAATTAACATAAAAATGTTAAAAATTTCATCATATCTGTATTGTCAATCGCTATAATGATCATTATACAGCAAAAATTCACTTGATATAAAATATTTTTTATTTTTGCTTAAATAAAATGAAGTAGGAATTTCAATTTTGTATTCTCACACATAATTTATTCAACTTTACTTAAATTTCAAGATATCATTGTTAAGGTAATTTAATAATATATTTTAAAAAATTTTAGGATGGAATAAATGAAAACATAAATACAATATTACAATATGATATAAATAGTATTAAAGTAAATAAAAGAATGGTAAATATCAAAATTATAGCTTTCTTATTCAAAATTTAATAGCAATATATGTATAGAATGTTATTATGACACCATAAGCGATTCTTAAGATTTTGTAGATTGTGAATGAATTTTTATTATCTATTACATATATATTGTAATATATACAAAGACAAATATTACTTTGTACATAAATAGTTTTATTAATAACAACTATCTCGAATTTTTTATGAAGTATTAGAATGTAGAAGTCTAACATAAATATATCAACATTGTATTTAAATTAATTTTATCTTGTTCATGGATATGTTTTAATATAATTTTATACAGTGCTGCCAATTCACATGTAATATTTATTATATAAGAAATAATATTACACAGTTATTCTGATTTTGTTATACTTTGTATGAGAACAATTTGTACTAGATAGTAACTAAAAAGGACTAATGATGATATAGTAATTGTTTTAATATATAAATCAATTGGTTAATATTAGTACGTATAATATACACTAGATTGCTTTTAATTTTGCACCTTTCATATTGTTTATAAGTATATTTCTTTTACACATGAATTTCAAATTTTTGATATGCAACTTTATTAAATAAAATTGTCAACGCAGTATTTTCTATATCGCTGTTATTGCAAATAACATGTTTTTTACTCATCAGTATTTTTCTGTACATATATTCAATATTTTGACGATTTTGATAATTGAATAATATTTATTTTTTATCGAATATAGTTTAAATTTTAATTATAAACCATTTAAACTATATATTATCATATTAATGTCAGCGTACTCAAACACTTTATAGTTTGTCTAATTTATTTTACTTTTATTGAATATTAAATTATGTATGAAACAAATATTTGTCAGAGTTTACAAATGGAATTCATTTTACATCTTTCGTCAGAAAATACTACTAAATGAACGTTAGGCGAGCTTTAAGGTATTTTAGGAATGTATTTTGATTTGCAAATATTATTTCTTCCATCTTCAATATAAAATGTTAATATATATTCATGTATCTGTGCATCAGAAAGAAAATTATGTATGGAACATTTTCCTACAAGTGTCATTCTCAAGCACCACACTATTATCTACTTTTATGTATCAGAAATATATTATTTATAATATTATCTGTATCTTTTTCATCTTATAAGTTTAGCACTGTGTGTATATACGTGTTATGTATGGACGTCAATGTGGAAAACTTAGGAAACATGAATGGTAGTAATCTAAAATGGTAATTTATGATGATGTTATAGATATATGCTATTGCCAATCAAAATCATAAAAATGGTTGCAATAAACACACATAAAATGTCTGAACACAAAAGTCATTAATACAATATTGAAATTTTTGTTTTTAATGCTCGTCTATCTTGACGATGCATAACAAATTTTAGGTGTTCTGACTTGTCATTAGCTGTTAAAATTGTATCTATAGATTAAATCTGCAGTAAACAAAAAATATTAGGCCGTAGCTTCTGCTTCCCCATTGCTTTCTGTTTCAGCACATTTCTCATCAAGTTTTGTCTTTTTTTCAGGACTGGCACCATCAGTAGCAGCTTCTTCTGTTGTTTCACTTAAAGTTGTTGATTTTCTCTTTACACAACAACTATCGATGGGAGCATCTATGGATAGAAATAATATATAATATAAAATAACTATATTTTAATATTATTCTTATAAGTTGAATTTTCTATTGTTTTCAATAATATACAACAATTTATATTCTTATAGCATAATTAAATTTAAATATTTGGCAACGAATTAAAAACTTTTTTTATTGATATTACCTGTAGAATCACCATTCTCTGTTGATTCTGCTTCCTTGTTCTCTGCCTCTTTTTCCTCATTTGACCCATTTTCTTTGGTTTCTTCGGCTTCTCCATTTTCAGATGCTTTTGAATCTTCATCAATCTCTTGAACTGTCTTCTTCTCTTCTTCGACTACTTTCTTTTCTGGAGTAGTAGCAACTTTGGTGTCTCTAAAAAATTACAATATATTAAGCAATTAAGTTAATTAATTTATACAAGTTAAAACATAATACATATAAATAAACATAAAACAACATAATAATAATAATGTGTGTAAATACATTATTATACATTAATATTCTGTATTTAAAGTATCAACGTCCATATTATGGATGAAATATTTATTATACTTCGCAAAAAAAGAAAACTGTTAAATGACATACAAATAGTATATATTTAAAACGTGATTCTATCATGATATGTTTTCTTTAGAGCGGTAACTTTACAGCTACAGACAAAGATGGAATGACAAGGAAAAGAAATAGAGATAGGACGCCAACCGTAGCGGCACCTACCGATGTTAATATTATCCTGCTTTCGTCTCCCCTTCTTTCAACTCACTCCTTTCAACAGAGCACACGTATATACATGCAACATACAGGCTGTTTCGGCGCGGCAAATCGTAGAAGTTCGTGGACCGTAATATATACATGAATGTTACATATACATTTGTTCCCATAGTACCGAAACTTAAATAAACCTAAATAGCACCGATGTTTATTGCTACAAATATTATACGTCTTTTCTTCGAAATATTAAGTAAAACAATAGTATTCTCCACATTTAGTCGGTAAGGGAGAACAGATCGATACATTGTCCATTTTCTTTTTAAGGTGATGTGTATACAATCATCTGCAAAATAGTTCCTTTTATATACGATCAAGACTTTATATCTTTATAGAAAAATGTTCAAATTATCCTTAACGCCGAAAAATTATAATCTCACGTGTTATAAAATATTTCAACTCGATTTGCAAACATATATTTATCTATTATACTCACAAAAGTGTTAAGTGATTTATAAATAATTGTTTCGATAGTAAATAATTGAAGTATTCACGATTAAAATATTCATGAAAATGAATATAAATGAAAATAAATATTAATAACAAACAAACACACGTACTTTCTTGTTATATGTCCCATGTAACTGAAGCTACAAGTGGAGAAAATAAAAGGGTAAACGATGCCGCCAGAAAAGCGGTTTGCAAGTAGAGCACATGTTATGGCAAAAGCAGGTAATCCTGAGAACGTAACGCGCCTTACGAATCAAGCTGAGAATATCACGTAGAGAGAGCATCCCCTCTCTCTCCCCCGTGGTCCCTTTCTCGTGACTGTACAAATTACGTACGCTTTCAAAAGTACACAATCAATCACGATACAAATAATATCATCAAACTGGTCAAATCGACTTCACGTTTCATTTCTTTAAAACAAACAAGTGAAAATTGGGAATGTGAAACACATTGTTAACCCGCCGTTATTGTATCCAGCACAGAAACATAACAAAAGCATTCGACAAAAACGTGCGATTTTCTTACGATAGATCAATAAAAAAATCTGTAGTACTTACTTAGATTCCGTATCCGCCATGCTGATCAATTTAATTGTACGGTCGATAAAGCACTTAGGTACAAAACGCACTTAATAAGGCCTGCGTTTTCTACGCACCGGTAAGCAGACGTAGAATTCTGGTATCACCACTGCCGCGTAGTCGCGTACCGACGCGCAAATGGCAGAGAGACTCGCACACTGATTCGTCCAAGACCAGAGTTACTCGGCCCGGCCGGCAGGCCGGCGGCCTTCAAACACTTTTCTTTCCCGCTCGTTTACAGATGGCGCATGGATCAATCGCTTATTAAACTGTTCATTGTAAATGTAATTTTAAAATAACTAGAAACCGTTAATATATAATTTATTCACTGTAGAGCAAAAATTACTGGAAGATTCTCGGTAAACGATATTATCGGTAACAGTTGTTTATTTATTTATTATTAGTTTACTTCCTAATGAAAATGATTTTGAGATACGTAATTTGCCGCTATATTCTCATCGTGAATATGCCATGATTCAACGAAGTTTCATATAAAACTGCGTTAGAATATCAAACGTCAGTAATTCATTATAGCGATGGTTTTATCTTTCTCCAAGTGAAGAATATAATACGCATGAAGTATAATCATCTGTTAATGGTTGTGGTTATGCGATTTTAGGTTCGTAGTAGTGGTAACTTCGCCACTACCGCATTGTTAATGCCCCTCCAAATAACATACTGACCAATTGGATACTGTCTTACGAAACTCGTAAAAAATCCCCGCGCTTCCGGCGCTAGTGATGTATTGTTTGAGGGAACATGTATTTTGTTCCGCATTGTCTTCAAAATAATGGCTATTAAATCTTATGTACAATTTAAGATATTGGTTCGATTCTAGTGAAATTTAATGTATACTGTGGATAATATACAAGATATAAACGGGAACAAGTGACGGAAAGTTCTAGAAGTTTCGCGTATGGTTCCATTTCCGGTGTATATTAAAAGGTGCGCGATGCTTTCAGGTTGATCCACGCACCCATACGAAAGGCTCTGCTGCATTTACGTCCATGTTACAGGTTGCTTTTACTATGAAATAGTAAAAGATCGCATTTTCTTTTCGCTACAATATTGTTTTAGACGTTAGTTCTAAAAGTCTTATCAACAATTTAATTGAAGTATAATTTACTTCAAGATGACACACTAAATGTCCTTATGACACATAACAAGTACATACGTGTATATATACGTATTTTTTTTCATCAGGTACTATATATAGATTATGTATACATATACGTAGATTCACATATTCATATAAAAATTGATGCACACGTGTATACCTCATTTTGTATATCTCATTATCTGTAGTAGGGAAAAGTATAATTTTATATGATGTATATATGAATATGCATTTTATTTTTTGTTCGCACGAGAAAAAGATATCAAGTACATTTCTATTATACAAAATCTATTGTATCACATTGTAGAAGTTCGAGTAGAATAATTCATTTTATAATTACGTCGAAATTTCGTGATAATTATTAAAATAAAAGAAAAACATCGTTCTTTCTAAAATTTTAGGCACGAGATCAAATATGGTTCATCAATCTTCATATTCGCAAAAATCATGCAAACGTGTCAGTTTAGCCTGTTAAGAAATGTATTTTTTGTTCTACCGTATATGCCACGTGCCAGAGGCCTACGTAAGCACGAAGATAACACCGAGCAGCTGCTATGGTCGGTGCAGGTGAAGACGTGCAAAGCAGATGCTTCTTTTTGAATATCCCTTACATGGTAAAACCTTGAGGACACATTTATACCAAATCGAGTTGTTTTCAATAAAACTTTCCAAAAAGAAGGTGTTCATCGTTTCTAGCGCATTTCTATTTATAATACTCACAGAACGAATAAATATGTGATATTTATATAGGAAAAGAAATAATGTACATCTTTTTTTTTCTACAAAGTTGCGAACTAGACTTATCAATATATATCTATTATAAATATATATCTATTTTTTTAATGTAGTTATTTTTAGTAAATTTTCTTCAAGGTATCTATGTGTATATATTGCTGATAATTAATATAGAATTTAACGTTTGAAGATATTTTATCAATGGTACTAAATATGTATGTAGATGGTGACATGTAGCATTACTTGATAAAATTAAATTTTGTTTTAGTGGGTCAGTGGAAGTGTTCAGCCACAAGCTATTTCGATGACAGTAACCTATATTTCCACTGGCTTTGCAGTGTCAAACTAAAGATAGCATCCACGCATCTAAATTTTCATTTCGCTGGACTAAATTCCCACTTTTCTTAATGCGTTCTTATTCACCACGCTATAGACTAATAGCTTGTTTCATTACTTTTACGTATTAGAAAGTTCCGAGAAGGAAAATAAAGTGAAAAATTTCAGAAGTATTAATATACGTTTGTAAAAGTAATAGTTTTATATATATATATATATATATATATATATATATATATATATATATACACACACACACACACACACACACACATTTTTTAAATATTTTATATCAGTATGTATACAATTTTTAAAATTTATCGATAGTACGTTTTAAACATTTTAAAGCTTCAGCTTTCAGCAGAATAATGCTATTGAGAATTTAAATTTATCGAAGTATATACGAATTGTACAATTTTCTGAAAAGAATATTCAAGAAATGGCAGAGACGCGGTTCTACTTTCCTTCCACAAATTGGCACACCACTTTCAGCTTCGGGTCATGGAATCAATAGAACGCGTGGTCGCGCGCATCCCATAGGGTAGAAACAAACTAAAGTTAATACAAGCAATATATCCGAATGTAACCTCGGTGGAAGTGTCCTTTTGCCGTCTTTATCTAGTCTGATGTGCAATGTATCAGGACTGCACACAAAAATACTGTATACGTCCGAAAGGCCTGACCTGGTCGTACCTTTTTGACTCGATCGTAACCGGTTCGTCCCGTCCTCCACCGACTCCACCTAGCTTTCTCGACCGTATCTGCCGCTCTAAAATTGTACCTATATGCCTATCTACAGTTAGAAACTAATCGCCAAAGGATTATCACAGGTCAGCGAGTATTCAACCTTCCGTGCACGTACCACGGTTCAATACCACAAAACAGGTCGATTATTATTAATAGCAACGAAACTACCAAATTGAGTAAACTCGACGCAAGATTGGCTTATGGTAAAATAACTACGATAAGAGTGTCAATAAGAATGTTACTCAACAATAGAGTGTCAATTCAAAAAAAAAAAAAAAAAAAAAAAAAAAAAAAAAAAAAATCAAAATAAATACAACGACAATAACGAATTCATAACCTTACAATTCTTTTAGGCTATTATAAGATACATCAACGTTGATCAAGCAGAACATAGCTTAACACATTAAGAGATTTAGAGATTTAGAGATTTATCTTTACTACGATAACAATATTATATATAAAAAAAAAAAAAAAAATAGTACACAGTTTGTAAATGTGATTTTGATTTTTAAAATATATAAAATTTTAGTACAATAAACGACTTTCAAGTTTATATTATAATCGTAGGATTTTGGCAAAGCTAATGCAAGAAATTGAAAATAATACTTAGTAATTAACTCAATTATTAAGGATGTATCTACCGATGTTTGTCAAATGGACGAATATTAATTCTGACAAAATTCACAAGATATCGCAACTCGTTTTCTCGGTGACTCAACGATCACATTTCCCAGCCGAAACAGTGGCACAAGCAAGTTGTACGAAACGTTTTCGCGATCCAGTGCGAAAGCCTTGACGATTCGGAGGCGAGGACGAGCTTACTTTGAATTCAAAGTACGTCGACGCTTTCGTTTGGCGGCAGCACTGATCGAGGAAGTCGTTAAACCTTCCAGTGCTACATCTATCGGCGATAAGCTGAAGCAATATCCGAGGTGTGCAGTACAGTAGCTCTCTTGCTTCGTAGAGCGGCACTTCGTCACTTTCGCAGCCGTGCGAAATCCCGAGGCGAACAAGTAGAGCGAGCCGCGTCGCCATCTTTAGGAACGGTACCGACTGTCTCCGCTACCGCCGCCTGCACGTCTCTAAGAGCTGAAAATCAGTCCGCGACTGTAGCAAAGGGATCTGTGTGTTCAGTGCGACAGCGCGTAATTACTTTTTGTTTTCTATCGCGAGAAGACGCGACTACACGAGGTTCGTTCGCGATGTTCATTTAATGCGAGTAGCAAGTCAAAGTTTTCTGTGGTGTTCGTGCCGTGTAAGTCGAGCAGACGACGTTTCGCAAGCTCTGTCACCGAGGGTTGAAGAGCGATCGAAACCGACGTCGTTCTCTCGCTCTTGTTCGACCCTTGCTCCAAACTATCGTTCTCGAGCTGCGATTTTGCCATTCGGTGCGTACTGCCGCTGTGAGAACCGACAAGTGTTTCCAGTGTTTTGATTTGTCAAGTCAGAGTGGGACAAAAGTCGGAACGTCGACGAAAGTTGCAAAGAGGTATAACGGGAGATTGCGGCGACTGTTTAGAGGAGAGAATAAAGAGACAAGGACAAGGAAGGGAAGGACTGTGACGGCTTCGGTGAACGAGACGACAACGACGGGCCAGTACAATTGACAGGAAAGATGGCGCGAGTTGCGGACGAGGATTAATGCTGACCCATTTTTCCGCGCGAAATCGCTCGGTCTCGCTCTTTGTCGTACAATTAAGGGACCACGAAGGTTCAAGCTAGAGTGCTAGAGGTCACACGGTTGTCGTCAAGTAAGTCGAACTGGAGAAAAAAAAGAAAGGAAGGATAGTCCGTTAGTCGGTAGGAGTGTGTATTCGTCGTTCAGTGCGCGCGTGTGCCCTGTTCTTGCGTAAGTGTGAGTGCCCTCTTGTACGTGTACAAGTCTCTCGTAGGGCCAACGTCGACAACTGTCGGTGAGAAACAATTGCGGGCTATCGGGTGACGATAGTGGACAGTGGATAGAGGACAAGGACGGTGAAGTAGAAGGTAGTGGCAATTTGAAAAAGAGCGCGGTGATCGGCGGGGCTGTGGTAGGCTCGGCTACGGAAGAGGACAAACGAAAACGGAAACGAAGACGCGGTCTTCTAAAACTTCTTGAGGTGTGTAGAGCCCTGGCTGGCTCGGGTACGTACGCGGCTGCTAAGATGGGCAACAATGCCGCAACCGCAAACAAAAAAGTCGACGCCGCCGAGAGCGTCAAGGAATTTCTCGACAAGGCAAAGAAGGAGTTCGAGGACAAGTGGAAAAGAAATCCGACAAACACCGCGGCGCTCGACGATTTCGAGCGTATCAAGACACTGGGCACCGGTTCGTTCGGCCGTGTCATGATAGTGCAACACAAGCCGACCGGGGAGTATTACGCCATGAAGATACTCGACAAGCAGAAGGTCGTGAAACTCAAGCAGGTTGAACATACGCTTAACGAAAAGAGGATACTGCAGGCGATTAGCTTCCCGTTTCTGGTCTCGTTGCGGTTTCACTTCAAGGATAACTCGTATCTTTACATGGTCCTCGAATACGTACCGGGTGGCGAGATGTTCAGCCATCTGCGAAAAGTTGGCCGCTTCTCAGAGCCGCATTCACGTTTCTACGCGGCACAGATTGTGTTAGCGTTCGAGTACCTTCACTACCTCGACTTAATCTATAGGGACCTGAAGCCGGAGAATCTGTTGATTGACTCGCAGGGCTATCTGAAGGTCACGGATTTCGGTTTCGCCAAAAGGGTACAGGGTAGAACATGGACCTTATGCGGCACTCCAGAGTATCTCGCCCCCGAGATCATTCTCAGCAAAGGTTACAACAAAGCTGTTGACTGGTGGGCGCTCGGTGTCCTGGTCTACGAGATGGCTGCCGGTTATCCACCATTTTTCGCTGATCAGCCGATACAAATCTACGAGAAGATTGTCAGCGGAAAGCCACGATTCCCCTCGCATTTCGGATCCGATTTGAAAGACTTACTGCGTAACCTGCTGCAAGTCGACCTCACTAAAAGGTACGGCAATCTAAAGGCCGGTGTAAACGATGTCAAGGGTCACAAGTGGTTCGCCAGTACTGATTGGATAGCGGTCTTCCAAAAGAAAATCGAAGCCCCGTTCATACCGAAATGCAAAGGGCCAGGTGATACCAGCAATTTCGACGACTACGAGGAGGAGACGCTCAGGATTTCGTTGACGGAGAAGTGTGCCAAGGAATTCGCCGAATTTTGAATTCCCACACCGATTCAAGATGGATACACGTATCGCGTGTATATTCATACGCGATGGTTTGTCGCTCGTTTGCTTTTCTTCGGGCGAGAAATATAGATGAAGTAAGAGAGAGAGAGAGAGAGAGAGAGAGAGAACGAGAGTGGAAATATTAGAGAAAGAAAGAGAGAGAGAATTTGAATGTGTGTGTGTGTGAGAGAGAGAAAGAGAGAGAGAGAGAGAGAGAGAGAGAGAGAGAGAGAGAGAGAGAGAGAGAGAGAGAGAGAGAGAGAGA